AAAGGCCTGCTTCACACACTTCATTTAGCACTGCTACAACACAACAAAAGAACACGTGAACATGCCCCAATAACAATGAACTATGTAAACCAGAGATATTTCATTTCAGGCAGTGGAATAAGGTATTAAAGTAACAAACTGTCTGGCCCATGCTGGGTGGAATCCAGATGCACAAGCAGTTGTTGTTTTGTGAACGTACTGAGTAATTAAGAGAAATGGGAATATCTTAAGTGAGTGCTTCATGGAAAGAAAAGTGTTATTCCAAGGTCTGGCTTAAGTTGTGAATGCAGAAGAGCACAACAACTAACAAGGATTGTATAAAATAAAAGTTCAAGCTTACTTCAGTTCAGGTTCCATAAGCTGAGCTGCTTTGTTTTCCCATTCCCACACCTCAGCCTTGTTATCCCCAAGGAACTGGGGATCTGTGGGCTGGTCCAGCAGTGGAGGATGAATCTTCACCTCCCCTAAATCAAAGCAGGAGAGTGAGGAGAGGTTGTTGTTTCTCAGGCAGAACAGCTGGCTCAGTGAAGGAACCCGAGCTGCATTAACCACACATGTATTTGTATTTCATCTCCATGAACCCCTTCTGGATAATCAGGGGAGCTCTTACCTTTACCACATGTGAAATCCAATTTACAGGGTATGATGCTTCCATGAAGACACAAGGGAAGGCTGGTCACCTCAGGCACATTCAGCCACTTTTCTCAGGTAGCAGCTGGCAAGACAGTAATTCCTTAAAAATGCAGAAATTCAGGCAATGCAGGGAGCAGACTCAGATCCATCCTTTCAATTTTTTTTTTTGGGCTATAGTTGGTGTCTGATCTGTACACTGGTTGCTGTTGAAATAATTTCATAGCCTTTTGCAAGGTCAAAGACTGGATTGTTAGTCCTTATTATTAGCAATATTGGAAAAATTAGGGCTGAGCTGATTTAAAGGGATGGAAATACCAGTCCCCTATTTTTTCCCTGCCCCTGGGGGTGCCCTCAGCTCCTCCCACACCTCCCACCCTGGCTCAGCACACAGGCCTTGCTGTCCACTGGCTCTGTGTCCTCCCTGCTCATCACCCACCCTGTTTGTTGTAGCCCTGAGCCCTGCAGGGCAGGGCAGTGCTGCTTTCTCCTTCCTTTGCACTCAGGAATCAGTGTTCTTAAGCACAGCATAAATGTTCACCTCTGCCTTATCATGGGTGAATTGCAAAGGTGAAGGTAAAAGGGAGAATCCTGTTTATAAGATTCCAGAAGAGCTTAAAATTACCTCCTTATGAAAACTTTTTAACTGCAGAGGAAGGCAGAACGTGCCTGAACTCCATTCAGAGTGGCTCCATGAAAGGACATCCAATTTAATGGCATTCTTACCTGTAAATAGATTTGCTGATCTCTGGGCAGAGAGTGAAAACTTCTCTAAAATGAGAGTCTACCTTTGTTCCTAACCAGGTCCTCTTGGGGCCAAACCAGTGCTAAGGGTAAGGTGGGTTTTATTCTTTCCTGTGTTCTTAGAAATTGCTGACTGCATTTCAGAAGTTGAAGAAGACAAAAGGAGTCACAGTTGTCCTCACTGTCACTTCCAAAAACTGTTTCTCCAAATGATACTATTTTTAACATCACAGCAATAATAAAAGCTAGGGTGATAAATGAAGAAAAATCACTAATTATGCCCAAAAAGCCAAATGGAAGCTTGCTCAGGCCCAGGTCACACAGTGAACAGCAGGGTGAGACCAGTGAGCTTTAGCACTGGTATAAAGTTGGGAGCTGGGAATTTACCCAAATGTTAAACAGAAACAGATGTCTGAAAAACAAACGAGTTTCACAGCAATCTGTTGGGTCACAGGGTGCATCTGCAGCAAGAAGAAAGATTCCTGCAGCTTCCCTTTGCTTTACAAAGAGGTTTCCAGCACTCTCTGGTAGTTCTGTAGCTGGAGTAAGTCTGTGCAAGAACTTCTCCAACATATTTTTTTACGAAATTACTTCTCCAAGAAGAAAGGGAGAAGCCCCCAGGCTGGCTGTAAACACCACTGCACAACAATGCCTGCCATCCCTCTTGGCTCTGGAAAGAAATGTGTATTTCTGTATCCTGACCTTTTGTGAGGGCCAGAAGGAAAATCCACATTTAATCAGAGGGAGAACCCTTTTCTCCACAAAGCTGCCCATGTCTTTTCCTGCAGGAGAGATTGTGCCCCTGTCAGCTGTGTTGGCTTCATCTGGGTGGGTTTTTTTAAATCCCTCTGGTGTTGAATAGAGTCATTTGGAGTTATCAAAGCTACAGGGGAGGGAAAGAACTCAGTCACAGCTCAGAGCTCCGGCTCCACTGCAGAATTCCAGCAGAAAGGGTGTGGGAGTCTGTTCTTGCACATGTTCTTCCCACTCCCAGGCAGCTGCAGCCATAGCTGAAACCCTCACCAGTGACAACCTGAGAGACAGAAGATCTGCACAAAGTCAGTGATTTTGAGATGTTTTAAGTGTTTTTATACTGGCTGACAACAGCTGCCCTCAGAGAGGGAAGAATTTAGTAGAGGAACTTGCAAGGAAATTATTCAAGGTGGGACAAGAATTTAAAATATTGCCACTCTTTCAGCAGATCTTGTGGCTGCCCAGAGAGGGGGACAGGGACTGTAAGACCTTGTGCTTGTGAAGCATTTCAGGACTCAGCCCCTTGGCAGCTGATGGATGAGCACAGGAAGGTTGCAAATGCAAGTTTTAAGGGCAGTGCCACCTCGAGGCTTCGTGGCTGTGTTTGGGTGTTCTGATCCCTGCAGGCTCACAGCTCCTTTGGGAACCAGTATCACTAAAGCAGAGCTCAGGGAAATGCTGGCAAGCATGCACGAGGGGAAGGATGCTCCAGGCAGGGCTGTTAATACAGGTATAAAACACTGCTGGTTCTGAGTCTTCTCTCTGAACATTTCTGGCGCTGCTTTTTTCTCTCAGAACTGCCCAGCCCTGCAAATGCCTGGATGACATTTATGGCTCTGCCTTGTTTTGGGGCTGCTGTGAGACACAGCTGTGTGACCAGGAGAGCACACCCCGAGCACTGGCAGCACCCTGGGAGTGCTCCAAACCTTCCTCTCCATAGCCAATGATCCCTCCATCCACACACAGTCCCACCTGTCACCTTCAGAGGGAAAAAAGAATAATTACGCTTTCAGGAGAAATCCCAAATCCCTTTTCCTTGGACCAGGCGGTGCCAGCTGGCGGCACCAGAGGGCGCTTCGCCTCACCCTTGAGCCTGTCGGAATTCCCAGAACATCCCTTTTATTCCTAAATCCATCTCTACCCGTTGCCAGAGGGATAAGGTGCTATGAGAAACCCCCGGGGTTCAGCACCCCCTGCACCCCACAGTCCCTGTCCTGGGGATTCTGCTGCTGCACAGCTCGGCCTGTGCACGACACACAGCCCCCAGAGCATCCTAAATCCTGGATAAATCCTCCAGGGACTTCTGTTTCAAAGCCCAGGTCCTGCAGAGCACTATCACAGTATCTGATCTCCTTGTGCCAAATCCCAGTTGGAGGGGTAGAGTCATAGAGAAAGGAGCAGACAGGCATTCCAGGGGATCCAGGAGGATTTTTCCAGCCCAGCAACAAATGGCACCCCTGTCAGGGCTCACTGATCCTGTACTTTGGTCTCCTGGCCAGGTCAAGCCAAGCCAAGCCAAGCCAAGCCACCCACTCATTCCTAAAGGCACCAGTTTAAAATAAAACCCCTCTTTCCTTCCCTTCCAGAGGGCTGTGGTTGCCATGCAGTACCCCAGGACACTCATCCCAGAAAACAGAGATCACTGATGATGTGTTTGATTACTCAATAGCAGGTGTGTGGCACCTCAGGCATGTCCAACCTTTCCTCCTCCTGCCAGCCCCTCTCCTCCCAAGAGCCTCAAAATCTTCAGACGGACAGTTCCTCACCCAGAACTTCCCAAAAGAGCTTTCAGGCCACCCTCAACCTCTCCCACCCATGTGCCCTGCAGTGACCCAGTGGCTCAGGCAAACCTGTTTGAAGAGCTCAAGCTTGGAATACTCTGGATTTGCACCATCTCAGAACTGGTTCTTCAGGGAAAAAAGATTTGTTCCAGTATCACTGAGCCTTTGGCACCCTCAAACACGTGATTCTCCCCCATCTTGACTAACAGTGTCCAACAGGGTTATTTTCCTCATTAAATCCTTCTTAGTTCAATGCACATGGATTTGCAGCAGTTCCCACTACACCACTATTTGAGGGAATGTTGTTTTCTCATTAGCATCCTGATCCACATGAAGCTTCTCTGAACAGTAATGGAATTAAGGAAAAATGGGGAATTGCAGAACAGATCTGTAGCAACCTTGTTCATTCTTCAAGTCAAACATCCTTAGAATTTGTTTTTCCCCCTTATCTTCAGAGAAAGGCCATATGAACAGAGGGCAGGTTATTCTGTCCCACCCCAAAGAACATGCCCAAGGCTGCCTTCCATCTCCTCCCCTCACTTGCTCCCTCAGCTTGCTGCTATTTCCTTATTCCCATTTACCTGCAGTGCCACACATCCCCAAGCAGAGTCTTCACCTCCAGTTCTTCATCCCCTGACAGGCCTCAAGGCTGAAAAAAGGTGGATTCTCACAGAATTCAACACAAGAGTCAGTTTGAAGGACCTTTGAACACTTTTCATACATAACAAACCATCTGCTACGAAATAAAGTGTCTGGTTGAGAGGAAAAGCACTCTCTGGTGTGTGCAGTGAGTGTTTTCTGGCCACAAACAGCAGGAATTGCTGTGGTACTGATTTCAAGGCTGGGAGATCATTATGGATACAGAGACACAATCAAAATGCTCAGCAGAAGGTGAATTAATTAGCCCAGTAATGGCTGATTCAGCTCTCAGCCCCATCTACTCCCCAACTGCAGCTGGTGGGGCAGGAAGGAGCAAAATTCCCAGTTTCTCCTGCATCGTTCCCAGCAGGAACTGAAGCCCACAGGGCACCAGGAGCCCAACTGCCAGGGCAGATGGCAGTGGAGGAGAAAGCATGATGAGAAACAAAGATATATGACAATAAAGGTTAAGGTACTTTTATTATAAAAGTCTATACAATGAGCACCAGACATAGCAATGCAATTATATCTGGTTCAGTTATATATATTTCATATCTATATATCCATATAGATATATAGGTTTTGCTTTTACCAAAGTAAAACTGTTATATCACAAAATGCCTAGTTCTACCATTTATTTATTGCTCAACAAGGATGGCACAAAACACACTCAGCATTAACTGTTGCCATGCTTAGCTACTATACTGAATAAACAGCCAAACACTGCATAACAAACACAAAGCAGCTGTTAATTCTGAATTGGAACCAGTCTGATCACTCACTCACTTATAAAAATATTGGAATCATATAGATTTAAGCATTATAAAGGAGGAATATATTATTTAAAACATTTAAATAGTGCATATTGACATTTTGCATGTGGTATATAAAACACAAACATTCATGTACAACACTATACAGTACACATTAGTTTCAATGTTTGGATACACCCGTGTCTGCAGACTGATAGAAAAGGAACTGAAGTGTACATTGCACAATGGAACTGAGTAAAATTGGTAAATGGTCTCAAGACTAGTTTAACCTCATAATTCTCTAAGGTCCCAGATCACTTTGCAGGTTAAAAAAGAAAAAAAAAAAAAAAAAAAAAAAAAAAGAAAGAAAAAGAGAAAAGGCATACCACCAGTGCTCAATAGTTTTAGTGCTTTTTTCTTTTTCTGAATTCCAGAATTACATGCCTACAAGCAGAGTAAAACAAACCAAGGAGTATTCTACAGTACACAAATGAAATCTGAGCACTAAAAAAATCCTACTTGCAGCCTATTTCAATATGCTTCATGACAGAACAGCAAGTCTCTGAGGTTACATGCGAGCCATTTCTTGAGAAAGTTCATTTTTGGTCTTTCATAAAGCAGAGAGTGAATTCGTAGCTATGTTGATACCAGCCAGTCATAAAAACATGCAGTGAGAGGAGGTGCATGCAAAAACGTGGCCACAATCAAACCGATACACTGAAGAAGAAGAAAAAAAAAACCAACAACAAAACAAACCAAACAAAAAAAAAACCTTGAGAAAGCACCAGCTGAAATGAACATTTGGATTTTGCCAGCTCAGAGACGGCGGCGTGTGCGGAGCGTAAAGCCGGTAGCTAAATCATCATTCAGCACAGCAGATGGGAGACTCAAAAAGGTTATTTAATTTCAACTCTTGAAGCTAAATCATGCAAGGCCCATAAACTGCGTTGCTTACATGGTAAGGGTTAGGTAACTCGTTTTTTATTCTCCAACTGTGAAGCAAACCCCGTGATAAACAGCAGTAATCTCTGCAACTCCCAAGCGACGCCCGGCCCGTGGCGTGCGTTAACTGCGCTGGTTTTAGCCCTTGACACCACACTTAGTTCAGGTACAGTGGGATTTTTGAACTGTCCTAAGCCAGCTCCTTTCTGCTGGAGCTACACACCAGTCTGAGTGCCATCAGATTTCCCGTACAACCCAAGTGTTCACTGTGTTCCTTCCTCAAATCTTCCGAGAGCGGAGGTGCGTTATCCAATTCAGCCAAAACACTACGTCACCACCGGGTGGGTGATAAACAACAACCACCCCCAAAAAAAAAAAAAAATAGAGATCAAAGGAACACCAGTAACATAAGTCCTGTAGGCAGCATGTGATTGAACTGTTCAGTTTTCCAAGTTTTAAAAGCCACTAAAGCAAAGGTCACTTTCTGGTTTGTCCACCGTTTATCGAGGAGGAAACGTGACCGCTAAATGAGCAAAATCCATTGACGTTAATTATTACTGTGAATAGGTGCAATTTAGAGTATCAAAAACTAGAGCTGTTCCACAGCAGTCCTTTGAAAGGAATTTCAGTCTGTTTAAGTGTTCCAGGAATAAGAGCTGTACCTTTAATTTGCTGATTTCCCCACCCCCCCATAATAAAAAACAATAGGCAAGAGGAGTAGTTCGGTGTAGCATTATGGTATTAATAATTTCTTCAATAATGCAAAAAGTTGGTAGTAAACCAAAGTCTCAAAGTTCTTGAATGCTAAAGTAAAAAATAAAAAAAAAAGAAAAAAAAGAAAAAAAAAAGCTATGGTTGTTTTGGAACAAGATGGATGCATCTGGAATACAAAACCTTGATGGAAACTTTGTGTTTGCTAAAGTTGGATAGAGCAGTCTCAGAAACCTTAACTTGCTCTCTAGACAGGACCTGCTTACCCTTCAAACATGTCCTAGTGGCACCACAATAAAGTGCACAAACTGGATTCTTTCAACAGTGCATGACACATGAACCAACGAGCACCCAACAAGTACAGGGGGAGAATATGGAAACACCACGTTACTCGACAGGTTGGAGGAAGAGAATTTAAATGGATTTTGAAGAATCTTGTTTGCTGATAAGGACTTCCAAGAGCCTCAGCTTGGCTTTGATTTTCTTGTACTCCCTGTACTCATCAAGCATCGGGGCCCGATCTTCTTTCTGCACGTTCCTGCAAAAAGGAGCACATCAGGATTTCAGCCAAAGCCTCCACCCTGCAGCAAGTCAGACACAAAAGCATCTTTGTCATGAAATGAAAACATTTTTGAGGCAGCTTGTTCGCCAATAACAGGCGCTAAAATATATTTTAGTTCATTGTAGCTAAAACTGAACTGAATTGTGAACCCAGCAGCTTTTATTCAGCACAAGTGCTGCAGCACTGTGTGTTAATTGCTGTCTAAAGCTCTTTTGGGGATTTTTTTAACAGGATAGAAAGACTTTTTATTTGAGATCCTGTGTACAGATTCCAGAAAAATACAAATAAATTGAAGTCATATTTAGTCTATGTAGAATGACCCACAAACTGGTAGCGGGGAATTATTCTTATTTAAGACTGGAGCATAATGAATTAATCTAATAATCTTATTAACCTCATTATTTGCCATAGAAGTCAAAAGGAGCTATGTGCCAAATTCAGTAAGTGCACAGTGAAGCCACATAACTGGAATTTGTGTGACCAGTGATCCAGCAGTTTGTAGTTTAGGAGAAATACAGGAGAAAGGACAGTCAAGTGAGAACATCTGCCAGTCAAGGGACTGACCTCTTAGGAGTGTTTTAGTTTTGTCCATGAAGTGAGACACCTCAAAAATACAGTGGCCAGCAGTTCAATCCAATTCATGACAACATATATTCAAATAAGAGGCCTAAAGTAACTAAGCAGTACAGAGGAGAATAAAAATTATATAACTCTTTATTGGTAAAGCAAATAGCCACTGTCAGGACTGACCTACTGGAACAAGGGAAAAATGGACAAATTTCCCTGCCCTGTGTTAAAAAAGAGGGATAAGGGGGTTAATATAAAAATATACCTTTTAATAAGTATTTTTAAATGCTAAATTCTTTTAAATGGAAAAACTTCACTTCTTCCATTTTGATTACTATGCTTTACAGACTGCAACAGAGGAAGCAAAATCTAAGAGCAGGCTTCCTCCACTGTTATAAATACCTAAAGTTATCTCCTTCAGGAGATTATTCATAGCAGAGATCAAAACAGATCAGATTCCATTTGGCAACATCCATAAAGAAAGTTAAAAAAAATCCTTGGCTGCATCCTGAGGCTGCTGCCCAGCATCTGGTTCAGTGCTAAACAAACCTTCCATTCTGCTGATAAAACTCCTCTTCGAATTCTCGTAAGGTCTTACGTAGCTTCTTTTTCTCAGCTCTGGCTTTCCACAGTTGCTCCAATAATTCAGGCCTAAAAGTTGCAAGAGAAAAAGAAAAATATTGTGTTGTTGGCCACACAATAGAATTTAAACTCCTGAGAAACAGCTGAGCTAGCTGAGCTAATAATTCATGTGTCTGGCTCATAAGGAACGTGCTGTCTGTCTGCTGGTGAAATACTGAGATCAAACTGCCATTAACCAGCAGTTACTGAAGGGGTAAAATGTTCTGCTGTCTACACAGCTCAAGGCTGAGGAAGGTTTAGAAGACACTAAACAATTCACTGAATACAGAAAGATCTTAGTTAGACACGTCAGAGCAAAGAACACTCTGCCAGTCCAAACATTTCCTGAACCTGTCACTCCCTTCCACCCAACATCAAGGACTGGGTGTCATGACTGCAAGTGCAGTAATTGCAGCTCCCCAAATGAAATCCTCCATACATGGAAGCAGCACGGGTGCTGGACAGCCTCAGGTCCCGGGTCAGCTTCTCTTGACCATCTTCAACATCAGACTCAGAGTTTTCAACTGGGCTTAGAACAGGCTGGGTTTGGGCAGCAGTTTTTAAGATATCGCTCAGGTCTGCAGACAAACCATCACTTTCCTCCTCTTCTTCCTGAAGGTCAAAGCAGAAATTCAACATAAACATGATGTGCTCCAGTTTCCTATTACAAGTGCTGGGACAGTATTTTTTAAAAGAGCACTGGACATACCTTAATTTCTTCAAAAAAATGGGCAGTTTCACCTTCAATAATGGGCTGTAACATTTGCCCTCGCCTCTTGGTGGATGGTGACCCCTGCAAAAATGGAAGTTTGCTTCATTATGTGCAATTAGACATCAAAAGCTCTTTGAAGTCAGAATTCTGTTCAAGTGACCCAATACCTAAAGGTATTTCACCTTTCAGATGAATAAGACTGCAAACATACTTACAAAGCACAAATAAAATAATCACATAACCCAGAAAGCTCAGATGCCCAAGGTATCCTTGACACAGGAGTAAATGTTGTAGTTTATTATCTAATACTCTTCTTGGACTTAAAATAAAAAGCACTTGGCTCTCTCCATGTTTTGTAGAAGATTCATAAAGCACAATGGTATTTCTGAATTCCATATTTACTCTTGTTCCACCCAAATCAAACCTCAAGTTACTCAAGGCCAGAGCTGGTTTTTATCTCCTGCCAGGCATAGATTGGGAATAAATACTGTTAGGTTGTTTTTCCAGACCACTCTGAGGTGGAACATAAAAGCCACACACAGACAATGACCTGTCAAAAAGGGTTTCCTGCTTCTCTGGATGTTTCCACACATCCTTCAGTGCTGTGGAATTGTGACACCATATGAGATATCTCACAGAATCAACTGTCACATAAACCAAAAAACCCCTTCTTGAAATACCTGGCACTGAATACACCTGCCTAGAACTACCACTGAACAACCCTTGGAAATGACAGAGCTCCCCATATCTCTTATGAATTTAAAATCCTTCTGGTGGGCTATCACCCACCCCTTTATTTCACAGCAAAAAAAAAAAGAACAACTATGATACAGTCATAAGGCTACCCAGAATGTAAAATGCATCTCAGCTCAAGAGAGTCAGAGTTTTGAGGTGAGAGGTGAGATAAAGCTCAAGAGCTTTATCTCAAGAGCTGGGTCAAGAGCCCCACCAAAAATCTGACTCACCAGTCACTGAGAAACGTGTCAGTGTTTAAGAGCAACCTCTGTTTGTGGAGTTCAAAAAGGGACACTGAGATAAAAGCCCTTTGACTTAAATATGACTGTGATGCAAATCATGTTTTTCTTTAAAAGTAGCCACCAAAAAAAAAAAAATTATGTGCAAGAAAGGCAAGGTCTCGAGCTGATCCCTTTATCTCAATGTACTTGGCTTAGAGGGGAGACCAAGAACTGCCAGTGACAACGTAAACAGCAGATTAAGATCCTGCTGAGTAAGCCCAGCTACGTACAGAGAACCACGTATGCAAAGAGATTGTCTCACACCAGCTGTGCAGTTCCCTTCCTCCCAAAAGGGTCAACAGCCAACATCAAAACGGGGATTCTGCAAGTCTGGGTCAGTGTGCAAGGTTTGCAAGCTCTGGCAGAACAAAGCCAGCTGTCACTCCCAGGCTGGTTTCCAGGTACCATAAACAATTTACATCCATTTCCTTGCACGGTATGAAAACTTTTCTTCCTCATCTCTTGCAAGACCAGAGAGAGAGAGGAAAGAAAAGAAGAGAGAGCACTGCAGTTCAGAAGGAAATGAAGGGAAAACACAATGAAAAAGCACGGGGGTGGTACAGATGCTGCAGGCGCTGCTAACACGTCTCGCTCTGGGGAAGCATGAAGGAATGAAATGGTTCTGATGGCCACCCTGTCACTCACACCTCTGCTGACAGCAACCTGCACTGCAACTGCTGTTACTATTCTGGGCAGGACTGAAAGTACAGTATGTGCTGTGCATCCACAGCTAGCACAGGGACTTGGGAATGCCTCAGCCACGGCGAGTTAGCACAGCTCACTCAGTGCCACCGAGAACCATTTACTTCCCAGGAGCCATCAAGGTCACAACCAGCTTGGAACTGCTCTGTTCTCAGCAGGAAATCAAAAGCCTCAGGTACAATGACAACATGGGCTTGTATCTTCCACAAGAAAGATGTTCTAGGGAACACTGTTGTTACTGGCTCTTCTAAAGGCAGCCTAGCAGTTCAGGAGCGGGAAAATAAACAGAAATAGCATTTGTTTTACTCACAAGAATAGGAGTAATGCTTGCTCTAGTTAACATTTGTTTTACAAGTCTGTATCTGTCATAAAGTGGCTTCACAATATGTCTTTCTTCTCTAGTAACCTAAAGGCAGAGAAACCACAGAATTAATTATACCAGTCACTAAATTACAGACAAGCAAACACAAAGCAGTGTGCTTCTCCTGCCAGGCCACATCCATTCCAAACAGGAACACAAAACTACCTCAAACTGGGTGTATGGAATGGGGTTGATGCAAATATAAATGGGAATAAGGGAGTGCTTTTTCATTCTCTCTTTTCTCACTTGTATTTTTCAGGAAAATGGTTGAAACACTTCCTAAAATTCAGGGGAGCTTCAGAAGAAGCAAACCCTGGTTTTAAATACCCATGGAAAAGAGGCAAAAAAGGGAGCAAGAACTGAGGGGAAAAAAATGTGTGCCTGGCAATGATGATGGTTCTACAGAAATGACAAGGGAATAAAGAAAAAGATGAAACTGTAGAGAGGGGGGTGGGAACTGCCTTTTCATTTCTGTTTTTGTGAAATCCAGAAAAACAATCCCGGCCTTTCCCCAGGAAATTCAATAATCCTGTTTATTTTTAACACTTCTCTTTGCCTCACAGACATATAAGGCATCAAATAACACCAACCACTTTGCAAACTCCAATAAGCTGCTGATTTGTGAAGAAGGGGCCTGTTAATACATACTTTTTTCTTTTTTTTTTTTAGAAGTCAATGCAGTAAGCTCCTCGGATGCCAACATGGAGGCCAATAGATACCTTTGTGTTTTGGAGAAGGAAAAAGAAGAACAAACCCCCACACCAGCATTAAATTCTGGTCTTAAGCACTGCCCAAGAGTTACTGTTGTCTACACACACAATAAGAGAGGTGGAAGTAAAACCAAAGTATTACCGGCCGTCCATGTTGGCTTTCGTAATACAAGAGGCTTTTCTGGAGAGATGTTTTCTCTTCTACCAAATGGTCCTTTGTCATTTTCTATCAAGAATAATTAACATGTAATCAAACACAAGTCACTTGAACTGCTTTTTTTTTTACATTACCAGCTACACAGATGCCTTAGTTCAACTTAGCTTAGTTAATCCTGTACATCCCACCTTCATCCACCTAAAATATTGTCAACACATACTTGGGAATATTTTGATAAAGAGTGAGCAAGGAAAATGTGGTTTATCTTGATAATTTCCCCACAGAGCCTAAGATAGGATGGTCTGGCCAAGGGCTGCTAGAGAGAGGCATCATTTTGCTGATAAAATGGTATCTGACAGTGCTCTATTTCCCTCTCTTATTCTCTTGGAAACAGCCTATCCATAACCACAACCTTCTGCTTACTTTTATATCTTCTGGCAAACATCTCTCCACTCGTTTTTCCTTCAACCTTTTCAAGATGAGTTCCAGTGTGGCCTCCTTGGTGGGCTTCTTCTCCTTCTGCACAACCCGCATCTCATCCTCATTTTCTTCATCCTCTTGGTCAAGAGAGGAACCAAAGCTTTTTGGAAGAGTGTTACTTCGTGGACGTGGTTGAGGGATGAATTCTCCTTCTGTGCTCCTCTGCTTTGCATCTGGAAAGGAGAAAAAAAAAATTGCTCAATGCAAAGGTTTAAAAGAAATAAAACACTCTTGGTTCGTTTAACTGCAAACACAGCCATTTGCAAAGGCAAAGCTTCTCTCCTAATGAGCCAAAGCCACGAGAATAATTTGATTTTTGGATAGTTCAGAAGGTAGAAATGAAACGTTTTTTAGTGTCCTGTGGAATTTTACTGAATGACTTAGCTGCTTCAGTCATACAGATTATCTGTGTTTGTAAAAAAACAGGAACTGCAGCATCTCTTACCTTTTATTTGCTTTCTCAATTTGGTAAGTTCAGTCATCCACTTCAAAACTTTTGGATTGGCTGCAATATCACTATAGGAGGGCTGCAAAAATACAAATAAACTACATTTTAAACCAAATACACTCAATCTTGTTTATAAACACTTCTTTCAAGATTTGCTAATATTTGTGACAGTGAATGTGACCAGTTACGTGGATGTCACTCAGTATCAGGTCAGATCTCAGTGCCAACAGAAGGGAAAACACTTGTGAAAATAAAACTGAAGCAATATCAGAAGTTGAACCAGAGAGTGGTAAAACACTTCTACTTTTCCACATGTGGACTCTCCTTAATCTCAGTGCATAAATGTCCCTCTGCCCTCCTCTGGCTCTGGAATAATCACTTAGGCCTGCCATGCAGTCCTTCACCCCCAGTGAAAACAGAACTGCTAACTTACCTTGCTGTTTTTCTCTTTTTCAAACTGTTCCTCAAATTGCTTGATTTTTTTCTGTAATTTCTTGACAAGCTGATAAGGTGTCTTGTCTTCCCTTTTGTCATCCTTTGAGCTAAAGGATGCTCTCCGTGTTCTGTAAGAAAAACATTTTAAAAATGTCAGTTAAATAATTAAATCAGTGCAAACAACTTGTATATTTAAGTAACAGGTGACTAATTTCATTTTTCCCTCTAGTTCATAATCCATTCTTTTCAAGTTTTCCGAGCCATTTACTCAAAATTCTTTGAGCTGCTGCCTTCAAGATGTGATGTGTTATTTTTGCCTCTCTAATTTCAGTAACAACCGTAACAGAAAAACAGCTTTTGAAATTCAAGTGTAGTAACCTAATGTATCATTAATTGCCACCTTTCTGGTGGCTGGGCTGTTTACCTAAGTGAGACATACTCAGTAGTTCTTTAAGACTTCCTGGGCACAGAATAAAGCCCAGGATTTAGAAACTACAACTGAACAACTCTTGGTAATTAAACAGCTTTACTTCACTGTCTCAGGCATGTTATTAGATACTTACCTAAAAAACATCCACATCCTCTGTTGGTCTTACTGATAACTTTCTTAAATCTTACTAATAGATTTGTAGAGCATGTGGTTCTGGTTTCATATCATATTTTGCATACCTTTTTTACTTCAAGACTGAGAGGAGAATTTTCTAGCACACCTATTACACAAGGTGCCTGAAAGATGCCTCAACACAGCCAGTGACATCTAGTTCAAGATATTAGCAATACTAATCTAATAATCTACTAGTGTAGATCCTTATTAGCTTCAGAATGAGGAGAACAGCTGTTGCATCAGCACTTTCCTGCAGGTCAGTCTCTGCACAGTTTGGGAGGGTCACACTCCCCAGTGCCACACAAATAACCTGCAGCTCGTTTAGTGACAACTCTGCTTTCATAAACTAAAGGGAAAAAAACCCCAGAGCTCACATGAAATCAGAGACCAGCAAAGCCTGGTAAACAAAGGCTATAAATACTTCCTTCAGCCCAGGAAGTGCCACTGCAGCTGGTTGTCAGAAGTCCTGCCCAAATGGCAGGGAAAAGCCTGCAAACCTGGCCTATTTTTATACTCTTTCCCTCAGCATCGGTCAGTGGCCACTTGGAGAGATGTGACAGCACCCCAGCTGAACCTCTGGCCTCACTCACCCTGGCAGTTCCTGGGCAGGCAGGACAGTCAAGTGGCCACAAAATGCTGCGTTTGACCTTGGGCTTCAATTAATTCACATCACGAAAAAACCCACGAGGTTCTTAAACTCCTGTTTTTGGTTTTTTTTTATCCTGGCAGTAACCTCTCCTGCCCCCAAACCCACTGGGCTGCATGAAAATACCCACCTAACAAAAGAAAGTGCTTTGGATGAAGAATCTAAAGTTTCTGGATCGTGTAAGAAACGCTGGCTTTGCCCAAAATCCAAACTGCGATGTGACAAGATGGGATGACAGTCCTCTTCCAAGGGATGATTAGTCATCCTTCCAGCCTGGGGGGAGAGCTGAGCTTCTCCAGACTCACTGTCCTCCTGCCAAGATTTGAAAGCAGGAAATGGATCTAGAAGATAAAAAAAAAAAGAAAGGACACAAAATGGTACTTTTCTGTTAAGAGAATTAGAAAGGAGAGTCAAAAGGAAACAAAAATGAGTACCCAATGCTTAGTCTTGTATGCTATAGAGGATGTGGTGTCAATACACAAAGTGGATAAAAACATTGAAATACATCAGAAAGCTACAAATTTCTGTCATAGAACTGAAAGAAAAAGGTACTGAAATGAAGTATGCACACTAGGATCCCTTTTTCAAAGTGTATCTTGGGAGTATGCATTTCTGAGCAGTTCAACAGTGTAAAAGAGCCTTATTTAGGTATCAGAAATCCAAAATTAGGAGAATGTAGTTATTGTCCGTTGCAACATCTGGCTGTGGCAAATGGTTTTCATACCATTTGCATGTACTGGGAAAGATTGTCCTCTTGATTTTGAAGAAGGTAACCCTGACAGTACCTCTCTTTAGGTACAATGCCCATCTACTTAAGTCTTTTTAGAAGAGCGTTGTTGAGGTTTTAAGATTAAATCTGTCTTGACACCACTGAGAAAAAGAGATTTCTTAATTTGTGGAAGGTGATTTTTTTTAGGAAGGAGATTCCAAAACAATCAATCCTTTCAAATCCCTGTGAAAAGTTCATCCCTAACATCCCTTCAGAATTCTCTGACATTGTTTTCTTACTGTCTAACAAAAAGCCAACATGGTCTTCCAAGCCCGTGAATTTAAAATCCCACCCCTCCCTTTTCCTTTCAAAGTGCTGTCTTATATTTTTCCAGTTCACATCAGAAATTTGAAAACTGGGTTCAAAGTGTGCAGAACAACAATAAAAACCCACAAAGTAATCTTTAAAAAAATTAAAAATAATAATAATAAAAAAAATAACCCTTGTACCTGCTTTCCATCGTGTATTTACTAAGTATGATTGGGAATTTTTTTTTTTTGGTCTCATTTTTCAGCCACGATCTCGCCTGTTTTGCACAGTACAAGATACAAGAAGGGGACCCTTTTGGAATCAACAAAAAAAAAACCAAAAAAAAAAAAAAAAACCAAAAACAAAACCAAAAAACTGCAGATCAGAATATTCCCAAGATATAAGGGACAGCAGGTGAAGGGTTAGTCAGAAAGCAAACCATAAACTATCAAAAGGCAGATAACTGAACGTATGGCGAACCATACTTACCCTCCCCTTCTCTCTGCAGATGCATTGTTTTGAAATCAATGAGGGGGAAAGTGATAGGGCATGGCGCTAATAAATGAAAAAGAATGGCAAAAAATACTAAAGTGAACACACAGCACAGTCAGAACAAACTATACATCACATGTAAAGCAGGAAGATACAGTACCAGGGGAAAAAAAAAAAACATATCCCATCTTTCGGGCCAGGCCCTGAGCACTCTCAGCTTCCAAGCAATGCCCGTGGAAGGTGAGGTGCTCAGTCCTTGGCCAATTGGAATTTTTTACTGCAAAGGTTTATAAGGAATTGATACAGGAATAGTAAAGGTTTTTTGTAGTTTTTAATAAGAGTTTCATGCACCCTCATGAGAACGAAAGACAAGTTGTAAATACGTTTTTGCCCAGAGTTTGTAAATAATAGAGATGGTGGTGATTTCCAAAAAGCAGGGCAAATGCAGAAAAAAATACTTAGAAATAAATTAACCACTCTGCATTTTTGCCTTAAACCAGCAAACATTTGATGTTTGTTTTCACACTCAGTTTTCTACTAGATGGGCTTTAATAACCCAAATCTTATCACAAAATTTGGACTGCTACAGATTTCTCAACAAAGTCACTCCACTGGAATACCACAAGGACTTGCAGCGCCTTGGAAGGCTGAGATCCTAAAAACCACCCTAAAAAGAACTGAGGAACAGCCAAAGTTAAAATACCTCACAATGAAGTAACACCTTGCAAAAGATCATGATTCAGTACCAGGAAACTTATAATATAAATTTATATAATATGCTACTTTCTTTTCAAAGGAAGGGTCATCAAGTAAAACCAAAGCAATTTTTCATGAGCAGATTTAAGGAAATAATGAAAATGGAAGCCACAAACCTTCTGAGAATACATATTAAATCAGATTAGCACAAATAGAGGATGCAACAAAATGTAATGTGCAAGTAAGCAACTAATGTAAATAAAACACCAAGAACATAAGCAGGGTTCTTATAATAACTTTAGACAGTTATTAACTTGGGCAAGAAGAATGAAAATCTGGACTCAGTGTTTTTGGATGCCTGCAAATCGACCTCTCTGTGCATGACATACCCTGAATGTGCAGTTTGCTGGGGTTCAAAACCACCAACCAGCAAATATTGCACAAATCTAATGAAGCTGCAAACCTCATCATTTGTAAAGCGGTTATAAGGGCACTATGGATTCAGGAAGGCAATTAATTTGGAAAACAGTCAACACCAGTGACAAATTATCAATGAAGTTACCACCACTTGAGCTGCAGGACAAAGCTGTTTGTGCTGACACACAGCTCTGAGCTGCACAGTCACAGGACACACAGCCAGCTTTGTAAATTCTAATATTTCTGACACTGCAACTGATTCTTTGTTAGGAGTGCTAACAAAGGAGTGATAACTCCCAACATCAACACCAGGCAGAGGAAATGGGATGTAAGGAACACACAAGAAGAAGTATTCTGAAAAGAAGATATCGCTGGGAGTGTTTTGCTCTGGTTACAAAGGGGTTATGGTGTATTTAAGTAAAGCAACAGTCTAATCAGTTATTACCAGATATTTGAACAACAAAATTCAGTAAAGTCACAAGCTCAGGGGGTTGCCAAGCCTGGAAGGCCATGAAGAATAAGGGTAAAAACATAAGGAATCCTATCTGAGAGAAAATTATGTTTCAAGTATTTTGTTTTTCCTAAAATCCAAATAATGGAGGGAGAAGAGGCACAGAAATAATGTCCACCTGCAACTTTAGCCATTATTTGAAAATTTAGAGCTGTTTCCAGTTGTCCAATGACATGAAAACCAACAACTGACATCTCTGATGTTTTAAACAAAACAACCAACAGACATTTCAGAATAACTGATATACAAATTGGCAGTTCAGTGATTTTAGGTCAAACTCAGCTAGGATTAGAACTTCAGTAGTTTGCATTAAAAAAAAAAAAAAGACAAACAAAACACTGTGAATTTTAACTATATGACATAATTAAAGCGTTTCTAAAGACTTGGATGAGAGGCTCGGGGTCAAGGAACCATTAGACAATTTAAAAACAGTAAAAAGCAAAACCAAACCCAAACCACCTAGAATGAAACTTGGGGGGGGGTTTTTCTCTTTCTTTAGTTGTTCCTTTGACCATTTTTCCTTTAGACTTTTTCAAGGTCCTTAATTAAGTTGCAGATAGCTCTGAATTGAGACGGTACCTGTGTCAGACTCGGCCGATCGTTCCACGTGGCGAGGAACGTGTTGTTGAGATCAAACAAAAGGAAGTGTAAGTTGTTTGTCTGCTGCTTCTGCTTTGTAAAATGTTCCCTTTATCATTCCTAGCTGAGTGTACTGTGAGCTAAAGGGTGAAAATTACCTTCCCATTTGTCACCATCGGACACGTTCTTGAGATCCAGACGTGGCACTTGGACCCCCGGAGCTTCCTCGGAGCCATCGACGCTGCCATCCCCCGGCACCTCGGCATCAGTGTTTGCATTCAGGTCACAAGGCTTGCTACTTGAATCCTGTAGTTAAGTAACAGAACAATTTTGTTACTACTTAACAACTGGAAATCCATCCTTATTCAGTTCCAGCACTTCCGGAAATTTTCGGGGGGAAAAAAAAAGTATCTTTTCAAACTGCAGGAATTATAAACACACACCTCCCAACAGGAGGCAACTATTTACAGTACAAAACATTCCTTGCATGAGATGCATAAGTATAAGTTTGCTCTGCTGCCCCAAATTTCTGTGCAGTGAGGTGATGGGATCTCTAACAGAGGTTTTACAAGCCCTGGAGCAGGGCAGCCAATGGGAGATGTTAAAAGTTAAATTTACTGGTTTTCTTCACATTTGTATTTCATAAAAGTTTATAGGACACTGTGTATCTGTATATAAATGAAATTATCATCTTACCAGAGTTATCTCTGAAGATATTCTATCATTGCCATCAAGCAATATACTATTTTCCCTACAAAGAAGACACAGACCAAGTTATTTTAAATACAAGTTCTTAATGGACAATAAACACCACACACTCCCCTTAAATTTTATTCTCACAAACCCCAGGCCATTTTAGCAGATAGAAAATGAATTTTCTTAAAGTAATAATGGAAATTCTGGGGAACAAAAGTTACATTATTTTTTTCCCCCCTCTGTGATCTTCATAGGGAATATCAAGCTGAAGCATGGAAATAATTGGGCTTGAACCAAGCTGGAAACAAAAACAGCTCAGAACTTTATTCTCAAACTGGGGGTATATATTTTAAAACCCAATTCAACTCAAACTGAAATTTCAATCAGTGCTGAACTCAAAATTACAAATTAACAAAGCTTACTGGCTACTCACTGTTACTAGCATTAATTCTTCAATCACTAAGAGCAATAAAATGTGCCAAAAAATTTTAAAGAAAATAACTTTTCCTTCTTCTGCTTCTCTTGCCCAGAACATAGGATTGTTCAAAAAAAAAAAAAAAAAAAAAAGCCATATCATATAGGCTTATAATTATTTTCTCTTTCAAGCACATAAAGTTCCATGCCTTTTATATCATGATCATAAAAAGGTAACTCAATCTTATCCTGTTTTCTTTCATATGTGAAAAGTGATATGTTTAGTTCACCTCCCTCACATTAAGTTGTAACAAGTGACAGTTGATACTCTCTACATTTCAAAACTGATAGTTGCAAATCCTGCCATGTCAGTGGGTACAGAAAAACACAAACCTTTCACTATTATTTTCTCCATCAACATCTGCATCTTCATCACATGGTTGCAATAATACATCTGCAGCCTGTTGGCAAAAAGGACGTTTAGAAGATTTAGGGATGGCATTCCCAGCTGAAAACATTTCCATAATCATCTCTGACCACAAGATACCCTCAAGAACTAAAAACTTCTAATGTGGTAGGCTGGAAATCCTACTTTTTAAGCATGTAGTAATTTTACAGCTAAAGTATGGCCAGTGCTCGGGTGTTTTAATCACCAGAACTCAGACAATGGCTTCCCATCTCCAGATAAACCATTTTTTATTATTTCTCCAATGAAAGTTCTACTTCAGATTGTCAACCATAGAGTGAAGTTTGGGGGGACTAAAATCATGGCAGTTGGTACATCCTAGTCCTGAAAACAGCTGGGTTGGATGTTGCCCTGTGCATAAATGAAATGCAACAACTCTGACAGACTTTCCAAAAGGAGCTACTAATCCCTGTTACTAAATAAAGCTGCAACAGAATTGGAAGGGGATGAAGAAATGCTGGCAGTTCTATGACACCATCTCACAGAACAAGTTCAGATGAATCCATGTCACCATTTTGTCCACTAAAAGTTGGCATGGGATGACTGACTGCTCTAAGTGTTTCTGTCAAAGCCCAGGACTTGATTTCTTCAAAAAGAGTCGTGTTTGGGGGGAATATAAGAAATTTGAAATATAAAATAAGTCATTTGGGTTTAGACTTTATGAAGTTCTCACAAAAAGTATCTGAATATAAAAGTAAGTTACCAGGAGAGTTCAAATACACCAACAGTTGCCACTTTGACACTGCTGACAGCAATATTCACCCTTAGCAGAAAAAACTCCACTATTCTGTTTCCATTATTTCAGTCCTTGAGTCAAATTCCAATTTGGGGAAACAATTTTTAATTGCAGTGCATTCGTCATACTCCAGCAGATAATTTCCACCCTGGAGATGAGCTGGGCAAGTCTTGCACAGTCACATTTACTGTAGCTGTGGAAACAGCTGCTTGTGTTTCCATTCCAGGGCCAAAGAAGAGCTCACATGCACAGCTCTCTTTTCCTGCAGCCTTCCATGCTCTCCTCAGACTCTCCACACAGGGGAATCCCTGTATTTCCCTTTAACCTCTCCCCACAAGATAAAACTTCTCAGTAATGTTTGAAATTAAGTATTAACAAGAAGGAAGAAACAAACACCGAAAAAACCAACACTCCACCCCAGAAAGGCTTTTTTGCATAAAAACAACTCACAGTTTCACTGCTACAGCACCCATTCCTATCTTTTCAAGTTCACAGACCCATAAAATTCTTCTAGTTCATTTAATAATAGGTTTGCTTATCTAGTTATCTTTCAGGAAACCCTCAGGAAGATTTATGGACTCCAAGGCAAGAAGCTGAAAACCATTGTAGAAAGTTCTCCACACATGTAAACCAAACTTCTCTACCCACAGAATTTATGATTTGGATTTGTAACAACAAAAGTGTTACCAAATAAATAAGGAACTACAGATTTGAATTTTTGTTTCATTAGAAAGGCTTATTTCACAGCTGCATGGTGGAGTGGTAAAAAAATTTCTATTTTCTTGCATATTACTGTTATCCTTGATTTCATTTTTGTCAGCACATATTTTACAGCATTGCTTGATAACACAAAGATACCCAGAATGAGACTGATCTCTGCTCACTGATAAAAAATGCTGCAGTTCAGGCCATCATCAGAAATCCAGGCCATACAAACTCCAAACCTTTCCATTTGATTTTACGTGAAGATCTAACAATCTGCAGCTCAAAGCAAAGCTGAGGTGAGTTTGTTGTATAGGGCAAACAATTCTTTCAATATTTACAGCTGCTCCAATACTGGGCTCCCATTCAGAGTGCACACAACACTTGCTCCTTTCACTGACACGAAATTATTCAATTCAAGCATAATATCTGAAAGCAAAGCCAAAATTAAGTCTGTGGCACCTAATTATCTTGTGGTTTGTTGTTTACAGTTTCAGCTGCTTTAAGAACTTCAACAGCCACTTCAAGTATCATTAACATTGTACTTTCTGAGTAAAACAATTTTTAAAAAATACAACCAAGTATTTTATTTTTACAAGCATTTTAACACTACATGCCAGTATGTGCTCATGCAGCACACTAGACAAGACTTTTCTGCTTTGGAATTGAAGCTTTGGAGGACACCAGTCCAGGTGTTCTCTTTCCCTGAACACCTCAAGTGTAAGAATTTTAGGAGTACACAACAGTCTGGAGGGACCCAAGCCATCAGCACAGCAGGAGCAAACAGCCAAGCAAAGAGGCCCAAGGAGAAGTGGCAGAACCCTTTCCAACTAGAGAAGAGATGAAGATGTGCTGAAAAGAACAGGCCAGCCCTGCCCATCACGGAATAAACCAGAGCCAGAGAGAAAAGGCTGTAATAATGAGCTATTTACAAACCCACACCTTCCTAGCACAAGCACAGTCAAGAGGCTGCGGAGTCTCAAGGTGAGTCCAACCCCTTCCTGATCCAGTGCAAGGGGATTAAGTGTGGGCTGTGCTGCAATCACTGCTCTACATCTTCTGCTCCCCAGGGAGCCTCTCCTAGCACAGAGGCTGTTCTAACCAGTGCTATATACCCTGACTTACCTCAGCAGAAGGAAGGGCTGGTACCTGTGAAAGACCGAGAGAGAAACATCAGTCAGGGTGCAAACAATTCACACCAAAACACACAAAACTTGTGGCACAGCAGAGGAGATCGCTGACTGCACAGAGCAACAGCACCAGGTAGTGCTACACAGAAAACCTGGTGATCTCTAAATCAGGAAGATCTGGATCTCTAAAGCATGAAAAAGTCACAGCAACTTATGGTTTGATATACAGGAGACTCTTCCTCTCACCTGAATGCTTTCTTCTTCCCCAGTTCCAGTTTCATGTTTCATAGCTTCACTGTCTAAATCAGTGCAAACCAATACTTCAGAGCAGTCTCCTGTGTTTTCATTGCTGCCAGTGTCATTATCTTCAATAACATCATTCCTAAATGTAAGAACAGAAAGACTTTAGGAACCTGTAATTCCACCCTTGAAAGGAAAAGAATAAAAAAACTCTAACTCCACACTTTTTTTTTTGCTTCTAAACAATATCAAACACCAGGGTATTGTGGTTTTCATTTCTGAACAGAATTATTCTTACCAAAGTTACTGGTAGTATCTACAATTATAATCACCTGTAGGCAAATTTAATTATTTATGTAGTTTACACCTACTTGTTTTCAACATCAGTAGGTGACAGACATAGTAAAATGCATTTATTTGATTCTTGTATGAATGGCCAGGCATACACCCCACACTTACCATGCTGACCTGAGGAATAAAAGCACACCAGCCAGAAGCAAGGACATACTGGAACTGCTGTGTTCTGATAACACTGCTGTGACCACACTCCTCTCAGTGCTGGGGCCAGTTAGTTTACAGCTACTACCACTGTGTTTCCCTCCAGTGAGAAGTCCCATTATTTCTAACATTGAATTCTTCCTAGAATTCAGTTTGAGGCTTTTAACAGTACAACCAGACTGAAAGTAATTTACACCATCTTTGTACTCACACATACTCTTTATGTGCCACCATCCCCGTTCCCACATGAGCCTGTGGAGCTCATCACAAGCCTTTGCCTTCCTTCTTCTCACTCACAAAACTACTTTAAAAAAGCTTCTTCTCTTATCAGATGTGGAGATACTAAACAGGATGGACTGGAAATCAACATTTTAACTATTTTTCCTTAACTCCAGCCATCAGCTAAGTCAGTTCTAAGAACTTTCTCCTGGCCCTCTGCTTTCTGTAGCTCTTCACGGAGCTGTGTCTTTGCCTCATGCACAGTTTGCTGCTTTAGGGAACCCAGACAAGCACAGTGAAGAAAGGTATCAGCTATCCTGTCTTACAGTTAATCCACGGGGGAAGATGATCAGAAGCATTTGGAACAGTCCCTGTGCCAGAGGAGGGTATTGGTTTCAAATCAGCAGCGGTGGCACTTGGAGCCTCCGTCTCTGAAATCAGCCCAACCTTTAAAGAGCTTACGCTGGGACTGAAGGAATTCAGCTGCTCCAGGACTTCCAGGCAATCACCCACTTGTAAATGACTTCAAAGGCATTAAATCTCCAACACTAAAACTCAGGTTTAACTGATCCTTGCCAGTAATGATTATTACTTTTATGATTGACCGCTGACTTGACTCTGGCCTCTTGTCACAAATGGGACTTTAAAACCAGTAAAGACTGAACAATTTTGAGTCTCTGAACACTGAATGTGTTCCAGGTTCTGAGCAACCAAGGAACTGAGGTCCTGGAGTCTTAACAACAGGTTTTTGGAGCCTGGGTATTATATCATGACTACTTATTTTTAATAAAGCACCAAACTGTACCAGCTTCTCAATGTTGTCATGGCAATCACTACAGTCAGAACGTGGCATGAGTTACAACAAAAATAAAAGCTGATCAAATGAGGCTGAAACACTATGCAAATAGACCTCACAGTGCTCTTTCTATCCATTTTTGGCTGTTTCATTGACACTGGTAGCCAGAGCAGTAAAATATCTATGCTGACATGAAAAGACAGGGTAAAGAAACTTAAACAGCACCTCCAATAGCTTTATTATGTAAGATTTTGTCATAAGTCACATCAGTGAGGTAAGAAGGAAAGCACTTGGGTAATTTTAAGTTCTTGTGCCACTTAAAATTTAAAATACTTGCTTCAGGAGCTGTTGATTAATAGCAACAGATGGAAGTTGATTTGTTTTAAAATCAAAAGTCAACAGTAAAAGTTGTAACTTTTGGGTTGAGGAGGGGGATTTGGGTAGGTGTTTTTGGAAGACTTAAGATATACAGTTCTACAGAGTTCATTGCAGACAGAACAAAGTCTTACTGGTTGTTAGATCCTTCCTCATCCCCACTGGGATTTTTTTCTTCACTGTTACAGCCCAGTCTGTGTTGCTGGATATGTTTCAGATCGTTATCTAAGCTGCTCTGCAGGTCGAAAAGATGCTGTTCCACAGCTGCTCTGATTGTTCTTTCTAAAATGCTAAAGAGCAGAGAGAGAGAAAATTCCTGTGAAAAACTCTCCTTTTGCATTGATCAGCTATGCAGAAAGGCAGAGAGAAACTTTACACCACAGAAATCTTTGATGACAAGCACTCCAAGGCAAAAAGAGACTAACTCTTCCAAAAAGGCAGTGGAAATTACTACACTGGTTTTTATTTCATAATATTTACATAAAGTATTGTGAAGTCTATCAACAGTGTTTTAAGAGGAATCAACACATTACAATGACTGTTTTTTAATAAGTATGCAAAAAACCCTTATAAAAGCCTAATATAATAATGTGGCAGTAAAATCCTGTGCCAAGCACCTGATGAAGGACACAGAATGTATCCAAAGATTCACCAAGAAAAGAACAGCATTCCTTAAAAACAGACTGTTCTGTTTTTAAGAATGCTCCTTAGCCAGCTCAGCCCAAACACACAGACACTCATAGAAAATCTGCCCTGTAAAAATCTTTAACTATTTAATCCCATTTTAACTCTGAAGCTGTGTTTCTATTTTCCCTCCACATTTGCACACAAAAACACCAAAATTACTCTATTTTTTGAAAGAATGTAGGGATGTAGTAACAGCACCATTCAGACATTTTATATTTTCATTTTACTTACTCTGCAGAGGCTGGCAAGATACTTATGGGAGAGATATGAGCACTGCAATAAAGAAGAAATAAGTTAATGTAACACAAAAACTTACCACACTAAATAAAAGTCTTGGAAAGCAACTTAGAAAATACTTAAAGATTGCATGTGATGCAGCTAATAAAAGCAGAATAAACATGTAAAGAACACCCTGATTTGCAGTCCCTTTATTATTTAAATGATGAAATCTGAAGGAGCACCATCACAAGACAAAGTTGCAGAAGCAGCAATGCAGATTTCTGTCTCCCAAGAGCCAACACTTGGTGTACTGTGAAGCTCCAAGCTCTCAGATGTGTGGTCTTTCCCATGGGAAACACTAATCACTTTATAATCAAACATTTTCCTGACACCTTGCTTAAGAATGCAGATTTTAACTTGGCTGCCTAAAGCAAATTCCATATTACTCTGCTTTCCTCCACAGGTCCTTCCCTGCCTGTCAGGCTGTTGCATAATCTGATTCTGCAACACTCTCTGAGCACAGCTACCAACCTTTCAGGGGCAGGCACCACCTTCCAGAGGTTTTGGGACAGGAGTTAGACATTTGGAAAACATCTGGAAATGTCCCAGCACAGGCCACTTCAGCCCAGAATCCTCAAATCCTCTGGAGTGTTAGGAAGGGTGGAAATCAGCCCAACTAACACAAGTAAGTTAATTTATGTGTATGTGATCCCTCTAGAATTTTCCATGACCATGATCAAAGTTTTCTCATTAGAAACAGAATACTCAAAACTTTGGTCAAAGTGACAGTAAATACGGTAAGAATAAAATGAAAGATGAAAAAAATCTACTATAAAAAGCAGTGAGTTGCAAAATATACACCTCACTCAGAAAGAAGTAAATACTAATTGAATTTTAACTCAGAGGTGGGGAGGTAAACAAGTGTTTTAAAAACTTACAGGCAACTAAAAGATGAAAATAGAGATTTTAGTCTATCCTTTACCACGCAACAATCCTGCTGCCAGACAGAGCTGATTTTAAATATTATTTCCATGAATGCATAAGGTAAACCCTGAAACACGAGGCAGTTTGTCACTGCCCTGGAGAACTGAACCTCTGCAAGGCAGTTCTGATATGAGCCTGACTTGCAATAAAAAATGCAGAGTCTCTCTGTTTACCTAAGAGGAGTCTTAATCCAGCCAAGAACATCTTGGTCAGACCTTACCAGGTTTATCACTGGTTCCATCACCACAGAGGGAGACCACCTCAAGCAGACTTGCTAATTTTTTTTTTTTTATTCCTCCAAGTAGATGAAACACAAGCAATAAAGGACTTTCAGTTAAACAGTGGTTAAGGTATTTATTTAAAAATATTGCCTTAAACACCTTGAACTGCGCCAACAGCAGAGTGCACTGCATTGAAACCCACCACGGCTCACAGAGGTGCTCACAGAGGCTTTTCCTTTATTTTATTTGCCTTTTTTTTAATGGAAACTTGCTGGGAATCAAGCTCATTCCATGAGTTGTGTGTGTGTTTGCCTGGGTGAGAAACGAAAACTGATCTATTCCAAAGGCAGCACTTAACTATCATTTCAAAATGGGAAATTAAAACACCTGAAAGAGAAGCCAGATCTTGTAGCCACTGACTTTTTTGGTATTTTTCTTTGCAACAACAAAAAAATAGTGATAAGTAAATAAGTTTACTGTTAAATATATTTATATTTCACTGGTATTTCTGTGCACAGAAGTTCAGCATAGTCCTATTACTTGGACGAAGTAAATTTTCTGATGAACACTTTTTTTTTGACAATACTTGAAATCAAAAAATGAAGATATGAAGTTGTAAGTTGAGCTTCACGAACAAGGTGAGAGAGAAGGAGCATGACAAAGACTCTCAGTAAAAAACCAGTAATGTTCCAAACCACAAAAATGTAGTTTTACGTATCCATCTTAATAAGTTCTATTAAAGCTGCATTATAAAAAGTATATTCACATTCTAAAGGTATTAATACATAATTATGTACATTGAAATCCATTTACTATTAAAATAGTCACTCTTAGGACATATTGGGAGGAAAAAAGAGGCAATCAGAGCACAGAACAGTGCCACACACTAACTGCAAAAGAGAGCAAGAAAAACTCAATTCAAGGGCACAAGTACAAACACTATTTATAGGTAACTGATGACCTGAAATCCTTTTATTTTACCACCTGAGACAATGAGGAAGTGTGTCAAGATCAGGGAGAATCAAACTCATCTCCCAAGAATGCAGATGATCTCAGCCACGGTTCACAACAAAATTTTCCATCTCGGTGTGTAACCTTCAGCCCCCAGCACAGGACGGTTCTCCGGTGCTTTTATTCAACACCTGCAGGTGCCTGAGAGGGACTCAGCAAAAGCTGGGCATAAATCAGCACTATTGCAAAGCCTGGAGAATCCTCTTACTACAGAAAGGATAGCTTACACCTTCAACTAAATCACTTGAGCAATTAAGCCCTTTCTGCACGAAGTGTGTCAATCGTGGTTAAAAAGCCAATTCCAGCTCCCGAGCCCACGTTGCACAGCTCGGGGGTACTTTTGAAAAGCTCTAATTTACACTGCCAGGCAGAGCCTGAACGCAGCATGACACAGCAAGACACAGCAAGGTAAACATCTTTGTTTCATAATGCCAACCCACTCCTAAGGACCCCTTCTGCACTGCCTCCCTACCCACAAAAGGTCCCGGGAAAAACACACCTCGAGTAGAAAAATATATTAACTAGAGATAAAAATATGTCCAAGTTATCCTTGGTAATTTCCTGACTGTACACAGATTCCTCTATCTCATTCAAATAATCAGTTCTGACATACTATGAAATGAAACAATCTCCAAAACACATTTAACCTCCTGCAGTTTCAAAGTTAAAAAAAAGCCTTAACTACAAACCCCATCGAAACCGACATCCTCCCTTCCGCAGATTTACCTGTGCAGGAGAACTTTACAGGCCATTCTGATTATCTTGGCTATCCCAAACGAGCACTTGAGGTAAAAATGCTTCATCTGGAAGCCAGCAAAGCGAGCTGTTGGCTGCTGGCTGTGCATGGTGCTCGCCGGGCTCCGGGGGCTGGCACTTCTGGAGTGCTGCACTAAAGCCTGCAGTCTAAATAGAAATCGACTGCAACATGAGGTCACTCCTGACAATAAGCTGCCCAATCAACACTTGAAAGCTTTCCTAACGTGTTGTTTACAGATTTGCCAGGGTGGAAGTAGGAATAAAAAACAGCACTGCACGAAAATAGGAATGTATTTTCCAGTAATTCAGGCAGGTGTTAATATTTGGTCAGCCTTACCGGGCATTTTGTCTGGCTGGGTAGCTGTTAATATTATCACCTCTCTCTAATTAAATCACAAAAGGGTTAACAAAAATATCACAGAAGTAATGAGGATGTTGCCCCCTCACTGCATTTAACAGTAACAAAGCAAACTGTTCATACAACTCAAATGCCATATCTTGTATTTTTACACATAAAGTTTCTGAAAAGCCCCAAAACAAAGGGTTTTTTATGTTAGACTTCTGACTGACAGTATTTGAGATGAACTGCACGAGTACAGCAAATACTGCTTGGCAAGGCACAGTGCTGACAAATTTGGAATAATGACAGAGAAAGGAGCCTGAAGCAGTTATTTCAACAGCAAGTCTTAAAATTCATCTGCAGTGCTGAGTCAGCGATTCTTTTCCCCAGAAGTCAGGACATCAAAACCCAAAAAGAGCCGTGGGGAAAAGGCTCCTGGTGAAGGAGAAGTTTCCTTTCCATGCACAGTCCCAACCTGGGTGCAACAAATGCTCCCTGCCTTGGGGAAGACGGGCTCCCAGATCACTCAACAGGTTTGTTTTAAATCCCATTTGCAAGCAGCCACTAAATCAAAGTGCATTAATGATTACCCACGTTCCCACCAGCTCTCTCCACCTCAAAGTCAAATTAACACCAGGCAGCGCAGGGAGGTCACAGGTTTCAGAAAGCACAAACAGAAGGAGCAGAGAAAAAAAGGTAGGGAGTAAAATTCTAAGCAAGTTGTAGTCCAAATAACCAGGAGGAAGGTCAGGAGCCCCTCTGGATGAATCAAGATAACCAATATTTAACATGCAGAACATGCAGCCTCAGCCTTCTTTTCCTTCTCCTCCACAGAGAGACCAAAATATACAGATATTCGGTTCCCAAAATCCAACAGTAAAAATGCAACAAAACTCCAGCTTAGGGAGTTAAAAGAATTATGTTTGAGATCTGCTTCCCCTCCTCTTTTATATATAAGTTGCCACAGGTCCTACCTCAAGACAGAGATAAACAATCCCAATAAATCTGCATTAACATTCACTTTTTTAATTATTTTTTTTTTTTACATTAGGAAACTAAGTCCAAAAGAAAGGCCATTAAATAGGTACATAAAAGCTTTTAGGTTTGGAGTAAAATTCACAGTATTTATAGTGGTTAAAAGTTTAATAAATACTTTCTCATTCACTTCAATTTTTTAAATGTTTCCTGCAGTTGATCTGGTTTTGCAGTCTAAATTCTCCTTCTTCTCCAGGATTCCTCCTTATCCTTTCCCACAAATTATGTAAAATGCCAACCATAATTAATGCCTATTCATTTTTAATTAACCTTAAACATCAAGTAAAAATGTTTTCATCTTCAGGCTATCCAATTTAAACTCTCAAACACGATGAGTTTGTCACTACTGCTGTGTTTACACATTCCAGAAGCAACCTAATACCTGTGAATAGTTAAACTGCAACTTCTCTTTTTTTCTTTTAACTGAAACTAAAATTAAAACAATTTTATTGCTGGCAAAGATAATTAACTATTAAAGTATAATTTAAATTACAAAACAGTTATGTTTCTCTCATTATTTTATATTTTACAACTTCTTGCCATGACCTAGAAGGAAGTGTGCTGCCAGCAGCTGAACAGATTTCAACCCAAAATCTACATTCCTGAAAATACTCATTCTTAGGCAGTAACTTAGTTGTGATTTTCCCTTCATTTCTGCTGGTTTTAGTCACATTTTTATTCTAAATTCCTCCTCACCCCTCCCCACAAGTTGTTCCATGCAGTGCCCATACCAAACACATGCTGTAGAGGGGAAGAGGTAAAATTCACCATCTGTAAATGTAAAACTCTAAGTACAAATAAATCAGGCTTAAAAATAAAACCTTGTGTGTTACAAGCAAGTGCAGACAAGCTCCCAAGAGGAAGTATTTTATGTTTGTGCATCTCCTTTGCGAGGATTGCTCTTAAAAGCTGACTCCCACTCCAACATCCCTGCCTGTGTCACACTTTGCAGGTGACAGCCCCAGGATTTCCCACCCAAAGGGAGTGGTGAGATGGTACAGGATGGGTTTGCATCCACCATGTGCAGGCTCTTTATTTCTGCTACAAAATTTACTGTTTAAATATCACTTTCCAGTTTCACTCAAATATGCCCTTTTTACCTTTCTCTGCATAAATCACCATATTTAATGCGATCTGAGTCCTCCAGGCATCCCTCTGCTGAATCTGGGAACAGTTATTTTAACCCATATTTTACTATTATGGGAACTGCACCTACTTCTAAAGCTGCAGTTTGTAGACACCACCACTTACATCAAAATCCTGACAGAATAAATTCTAACCCAGACTTTGAACCCAAACTCCAAGGCAGGCCTGACTTACCTTGTTGATGCTGTAACACTCCTGGAATCCGAGAGACTCCCTGTCACATCTAAATGCACCACAGCTGGCCTTTCAACAGGTTTCTCTGTGCCATCTTCTGGAAGTTCTTCAGACTGCTCAAGCTTTACATCTTCCTCTTCTTCCAAGAGATCATTGATCTAAAAAAGATTTAATCCAAGTTAATGGGTTGAAAAAATTCCTTGTAAGAGGTCCAGGGAATTAAAAGACCATGAGAATTATGAAAGTGATGTATGTGTCAAAGTAGAGCACTTTCCTTTTTGAGAAAAAAATAAAACAGGCACACTGGGCTTGCTTTTATGTAAAACCATAAATTTCACATCACTAAAAAGCTACTTTTGAAACACTGAACAAAAACTGAAAAGCAAGCACCACCTCCAGTGCCACAAATGAACACAAGCAGAATGGACAAACAACAAAATCCCGACCACACTGAAGTCACAAACCACAGACCCCTTCTTCTGCTTTGAATAAAACAGATCATTCTCCTCTATTCCACAGGAAGCCTTATTCATGTATCAGAAGCCTTTTCAAACCCTTCTAAGGAAGGCAATACAGAGGTCTAGGAATCCAAACCTTAAAGCACTGAATGAACACTTACAAAGTTTCCCTGAAGCCTCTTGTCTATTTTTGTTTCTTTGTTTCCAAACACACATGTTTTCACTGAAGTAGCAATACAAAACCAATTTAAAAAGTAAAAGAATATATCCAAGTGGTAACTCTAGAAAAGACACCTTCAGTTTTTTAAAAAGCAACTATGCCTAAAATATGAAAAGCTAAACAGAACAAAGTGATTCTGATTGACTCCCAAGGCCCCTCTGTGATTGATCTCTAAAGGTACAAACCCAAAAATTAAAGTAGCAGCCTCAAGAAAATATGCTTTATAGTATCTGCCCCATGAGTGTAAAAGAAAAGTACTAAATTAAGAAAAACTAAAACTTTAGAAGATGAAGATTACAAAGAGGCAGAGAGGAAGTACTTGTTTAATTTTTAAAAGGGGTGTAATGTGTTACGTGGCACTACATTCCAGGCAAAACACATACTTGTCCCTGGTTTTGCTCTGTAACTGCAGGAGGATGTGCCAGTGAAGCAGAGACGAGCCCACCCACACACCGGGGGCAGCTGCCAGTGGGGCTGTGCCTGGCAGGGACGGTGGCCCTTCTGTCCCCCCCCCGCACCACCCGACACAAGTGCACTGTTGACATCTGCTGGAGACACCACGACATTAAAGGGACACTCCACCAGCCCTCCAGCTGAGGGGAAAAACCAAGCAAAACCACACAGCAAACACACTGCTGTGCTCGGGAAACCCTCTGGCTGAAGCACACGATGAGGCACAGCCCAGTCAGTGATTCCAGAGCATGAGAGCACAGCCCAGCTCCAGGCACGGAGCAGCCACCCCAGCTCGGGACAGCCCCTCCGGCTGCAGGAGCCCCAGCCCAGCTCTGATCCACAGCTCCCTGCAGGCAGCAGGGCTGGGGCAGGTCCCAGGGGAAGGTCCCAGGGCCAGGCATGGTGGTGCACAGAGCTCAGAGACAGCAAACCCTGCAGAGCTGCAGCGTTTGCTGAGGAGCTGCCACAGCAGAGCTGCTCAATCCCGAGCTCGCTGCCCACGCCTGGCAGACCAGACCGACTCTGCTGCAGGGAACATCAACCAGCTGCCCTCCTACCTGCCTTAATTGCCTTGCTGAATGGAGGAGGGACTCGTAAGATAGGCTTTATTAATTCAGAGTTTCTTGTGACCTTCCCCAGCAACTGCTTGTTATTTACTCTTGTTCCTCTCTACAGAAAATGCATCATTTCGAAGCCTTAGAATCAGAAACATCACTCAAAACCTTTGGCAGGCTAAAAAAACTACACTTCAATATATCTTTCATAATCATAAATGTGTATAACAGACAGTGAAGTGATAACATATTGCTGTTCAAAATATCCTTACCTGCTCAGTTATTGAGCTTAAATCATTCGTAGATGAAAAATCTTCCTCTTCATTTTCAAAAAACTCGTAGTAGTTCTCCAGAAGTCCCGCCATTATTCTGCTCACTATTTCTTGTTCTTTCAGATCCTCCACATCTGTGTAAATGCTAAAGATTTAAACACTGGTTTAGTTTCAAAATCTACATCCAACTGTTGCCCCAAAGCACTCCTGTGAATGACTGCCGTGGCTAAGGGCTACATTTCACACCATTAACCCCATACCCACTCTGCTGCCTTCACACTGCTGGCATTATAAAGCTCTATATTGTTTTATATTTAAAAATGATGAAGTAGCAACTATTTAGTCTGTTAAATTTTTATGAGGAATATTTAAAATTCAAGTGTTTTCCCGTAGAGAGGAGACACCAGGATAAGCTGATACTTTAACAGCCTTCTCCCAGAACTGTTTTCTTGCTACAAATAGTAACCATACACACTATCACTAAAATATTTGAACCTCAGAATAAATAAGTAATGCAACAATCAAATCAGTGGTTTCTAATGCCACAGCTCACAAAAAAAGTTGCTGTTTAAATCCCATCAAAAACTGTAAAACCATACTGTGGACTTGCTACTGCTGCTCATGGACTAGGAATGACTTTAAACTACAGCTATGCCCTCAAATTCACATGGAAACACTTTATGAACTTTTATAATTAACTTACTGAAAGACATCCGGGCCAAAGACTGCAGCTAAAGAACTTGCTGACCAAATTTCTTCATGATGAGATGCTACATTAGCTAAAAATTTACACAGAAACTTTAACAAACTGTAATTAACAGGTGGAAGCTGCTGCAAGAGGAACCTCAGCTTTCTTCCAAATTCATCTTCATTATTATAATCTGGAAAAGGAATAAAAATATTTTAGCCACAAATTGATACTGATCAGACTTTTTTGACAATTTCTTACTTCTGAAGTACAACTGATACAGTCAAACCACAGCTCAAAATGTCAGAATTGACTTGCACTTGTTCAATAATTGCCACCATGTTCCCTCTGCAAGTCCAATCTGCAGTTTGCAGTAGATTTTCCCCAATTAACACTCAAGTTTCTGATTTCATAGGACAAACTCCTCCATGTTTTTGTTTCACCAGTGTTATGTAACAATTGCTTTGCAGGAGAGCTCCAGGGACAGGGAGCTAACTTCCATCCAGTTAAATTCTATCAGACAAGCTACTTTGACACTTTATAACATCCCATCCTCACCACTCTACTTGCCTCTCTAACATTTCACTGATAAAGCCATCTCAGTGCAATCATCTTCACACGTGCTCAGCTCCAAGCTTGTTGATTCAATTCCAGATCTGAAAAAGGGTCACCATAAAACCTCTTCCTTCTCACCCCACTTAACTATACCCTTCATCAAAATGTCTCCCCATAAATCTCCTGTGTTGCATCAGCAGCCTTACAGGCAACAGGGTTCAAGGAGTTTACAGCTGTTTGTACCTAACTGAGAAATCCCATCTATAGGAAACGTCAGGAAAGCAAAACGGGAGAAAAACTGATATGAAGAGGCCGCCCCTTCTTTCTCAAGACACTTGAAAACTCTGCTGAGATCAGTTAGAAAGGGAAAAGTATTTTTGAAGGTTATGAAGCACCACTCTGCCTCTCTAGATGAGAGAGCTGAAATATCCTAGTCCTTAATATCAAAGCAAAGAGTGAGCAAATTCCCTGTTGTGTAAGCACAGGAACACCAAGAAGTAACTGCACAGGGTTTCATGTGCTCAGAGTCAACACCTACAGCAGCTGAACACAGGCAACCAGGCACAGGAAAATAGTTGTCCCAACACAGTAACACAATAAAATTAATATTTCCTTGTTATTTTTCAAACAGAACAGGAGGAAAAAAAAAAAAAAAAGGACTTTAAAAAGTACTTTCCCAATGTAGACCTTCAAAAAGAAAGGAAGCAAGAGAGAGGTGACAGTCAGACCACCTTACACATACTCCATGTTCTGTCTAACCAACCTGTCCAGAAATTTAAGTTCTAAACAACAACCAGAGACCTAAAAGGTGAAACTTCTTACCTCTACCTGAAGTCCTCTGACACTAAAGCAAGGGAACACACTCCTGGGGCACATGACCTTGTGCAATCAGGTCAAATTCACACTTCCATTACCAAAATGACCTGCCTTTGAGGAGCCACCTGCATGGAATGAGCCCCTAACGATGCATGTAGGCCACACCTTGTTGTATCACTAAGTTGTTTCAAGAACTAAGCCTGACCTAACAAAATATAAAGGACTGCTAAAGATGGAAAAGTCCAGAACTAACATATGAATCCACAACTACTACCACCTTCTGCACCTGTGTAAGCAATTCCTCCTAAAATGCAGCTGATGATGTAATTCTGGAAAGTGATTGTCTTATCACACAGCCAAAAGCCAATTCGAGGAAAGCAGGATACTTAGGAGAGGAAAATGAAGCAGCCTCACACTGCTGCAGATGATGCTCCAGTTTAGCACTTGGTAAACAGAAACCCAGCACATGAAAACCCTGCTGAACCTACTCCTCCCACAAACCAATTCCCACTCTGAACAAACAGGACTATCACAAGCACCCTGGAGTTCTTATCAGGAATAAACCCAACAACAGAAAACAAAATCAAACAAAAATGAGTGCCTCACAAAGCCAAAAAAGCCCAGCATTTGAAGAGAAGTATGAGCTGACATTGGAAAAGGAGCAACACTCCTGCAGGGAGACAACCAGGAGCGGCCCCTCTGAGGACATGACTGATGCAGCGCTGCAAGACAAGTGCTCGTGAAAGTCAAGTTATGAACCAACTCCAGCATCACTCAACACAGCAGAGGCCAAAAGACCCAGGAGGGTGGGTACAGAGACACAAGCTGGGAATTGGTAAAGACAATAACTGTGCCAGCATATGGGAGTCAGTTTGAAAGGGCAAGGATTTGTAGTATATGAAAAAACATACTTAGCAACAACAATATGCTGATGACAGGTGGTTTTTTCCTCCTACAAGTGAATTTTAAGCTGCAAACAATCCACAGTGGGAGAGCAAATATGACATGAATGTAAGACTTGAGATTGCTTTTCTAGTATATAGAAGTCTTAAGTGCCATGAAAGCATAGGCAGAGTAAGTGAAATAAGAGAGAAACAAAGGCATTCCCCAGCACTTTCAAAGCATCAGTGGTGGGAAACTGTCCAAAAATTTCAGTTCCAGTAGTTTTGACCAATGTTCCAGCATTCTCACACAACATGGAACATTCAGAACTAATCAGCAGGATGCATGGCAGCTTCACCATTTTCCTACACAACAGATGAACTGTGCCTTTGAACCCAGACTGAGCTTCCTAAATAAGACCAATTTATTGGGGTTTATGCTAAGAAAAGGTCTCTTTGAATGCCTCCTGATGCACACATCATTACACAGAGCACCAAAGACATCCTGGTGCCACTAAAAATCTCAATTCAATACCAGGTTTTACTCTTAAAAAAAAAAAATCACAAAATAAACCCAGCAAATCAATAATAGTTATTACCTTGAGAAAGTTGCATCAAATGTATGTGCAAACTGCCTGGGATAACTGGCTCTGGAAGTTCTTGAAGAAAAAATCTAAGAAGGCTGATAGCTGAGGGTACATCTGCTTCTTTAACCAGGTCCACATCTTCTCCGTTATCGTAGCGTTGCCGGAGCCACTCCACTGTCTCAGCATTCCCATTGACTTGAAAAAGTCCTTCTTGTTCCAGACCCCCTGAGTTGGGAAAAAAAAAAAAGTTGCAGAAATAAACTTTGAGATCCAATATGGACAAATGTGTCAGAAGAAAATACCTATAACCAGATATGCACGATTCCCACCCTGAGTGAAATGCTTTCTGGACAGCAGTTCTGTAAGCACTTCCAGCAGTTCCTTGTCCCAGCACACACATTCTTATGCCCAGCTAACAATAAAATAACAAGGTAAATGTTAGCAGTGCCTAAAGCACAGCATTTCCTAGGAGGTGCCCTGCTGGGCTGACTGCATTGCTCTTGGCTAGAAAACAGCAATAATCAAACGTAACAGGAGTAAAGAAAGCAACTGTGTATCACCAAAAAAACCCCAAAACATCCAATCCACATCCAATTAAATGTAAGTAACTTCAAAAACATCTCAGAAAACCCCCAACCTAGTCTATAAGAGTAACAGTTCATTGCATTATTTAAAGTACAGCAAGGTAATACATACCATGTTCCTCAATATAGTCCACGACATGGCGGACTATGAATGGAACCTCATTGTCTGGTTGCCCTTCTTGCTGCAGCTCATCAAGTGGAATTCCAAATATTTTGTTAGCAAGAACAGAGTTGCAGTTACTCAAGGAAGGGGAGGAGCTCTTCCTCATATCTTTTTGCAGCCAAAAATCAAAGCTGTCTTTTCTGTCAAATGAGAGGAATTAAAACCGAAAAACCACACATCAGTGTATGCTGTTGAAACATTGATCTGTAACACAAAGTGTTTTAGTTACCCAATGCAAATACTCTCTAGTCTGTCTCCATCAGTTCACTGAACTAAGGAACAGCTCTGAAATGACTCCAAACACAGCTATCACTGAGGTGTTCTGTCCAACCCTCAGCAGAGGGATGAGAAGAACAGGGAGAACAGCAAAGGAAATGCAGAAAATTCTAGTTCCAGTATTTGCTAATTAAGCTCTAAGGTACCTGGGGAGAGGCAAGTTCCTCAGTGCCTTTTCTAACAGTATTTAGTGGTCAGGCTTCCAGAAGCACAAAAGAGCCTCTCGACAGGAAATGAAACCAGTGGATCCTCCCACAGCCAAAGCCCAAGTTTCAGTTATACGAAATGATTAAGTATTTTCTGATGCACAACTGTACTGCAATCAACTTTAATATATTTGGCATTTTCTGGTCTACATAATAAAGCTTTCAACACCTGCATCAAATTAAAAGCTTTACTGAACATAAACCCCCCAAAACTAGTTTCTAGATGCTCAGTGATACTGTTCTTCTATCATGCAGAAGCTCAAGTTCTACTTGCAAGTCTTTGCTTGATAAAGGATCTAGACAGATAACAAAGGTATCACCAGAGGCAGTGTAAGTCACTCAGTTAAACTGTTATCCTGTCAAAACCAAAATATTTCTTCTAGCAAAGAAAAAAACACCGTCCTTTCAAAACAAATAATAAAAAGAAAAGAAAACACACTTGTTTAAATGCCAGCAAATCACTTTCATAGAGGTTGACACGGCAAAGCAAACATGAAGCACATGCTGTTAGTCAAAGCACTGCCACCAAACAAGTTCTCTGTTTACTGATGGATAAATTCTAATGGATTAGACATCCTGAAATCTGTATTTTTGGGTTTTCTTCCAGGAAAATAATGTAAGGAACCTACCTCAGAGTACTTAAACAGCCGAGTTTGAAAAACGCTTCCTGCGCCAGCTGCCCTCACTGACCAAGCATTCTTTTGTCATTTATGGTTGTTTAAGATTATGGCAAAAGATCAGCCTGTAGTTCCTCATTGAAGAATAGCAGAACTCGATCAGTACTTCAGCAGTTAATCTGAAAAGAAGGAAAATATTATTAGACCGTCAAGTTTTCAACAGTTTTAAACTCAGTCACAAGTCTAAACATCGCATTGGAGGAATCCTCCTTGTCAAAACATCAGCTCCTTGTTCTGAACAGAAAAGCACAAAGACCACACTAGCACACCTCATGAGAGCTCCCAAAACTGCAAATCCCCTTTTTTCACTTAGGAGTTAACCACACTTGAAGTCAAAGTTATCATGGGACATTTAAGTCTTAACAATTATTCAATAATTTGCAGGCTCATTCAATCCTCATCCGAAGAATCAAGGAGGGCTAAGTAGGTTAGGCAGAAGTGTTTTAGGGTACCTATCATACTAAAATATTGAATGGCTATAAAATCTTTAGAAGGATCTCAGGCACTGATTTAGTACATCATTTTTAAACAGCAAGACCAAAACCAAAGTCCTAACTAACCAGTTTCAGTGGTGCTGATCATCTTGTCTAGGAAGCTGATTACGTGTCCCAACTGCCAGATCAAAGTCCAAGAGATCATCAGATCTGGATCCAGGAAGCAACTTCCCCCAAGTCAGATTCCATAGAACCACCCCCATATTTGCCACCTTTAATATATAATCCAGATTATCTGGACATTTTTCGTGTTCTCAGCTCCCAAAATAGCTACAAACCACAGTAACAGCCTTTATCATTTTCTGTGGTGTCAAAAATTTAAACTGCAGCTTCATGGCACAGTGGAGCTGAAATAAAGTCCCAAATCAAAGGGTCACCTCAGCCCCTTGATCTCACCCATCATTATCTGTTTATTTTAATTAAACTCAAGCAACTCTTAGTGGGCAAAACTAACTTGCTTCAACCTGCTCGGTGTCTTCTTGCACTGAGGCCCAGAGGAAGAAATATTTCAGGCTTAAATGTGTTAAAGTCTCTGCCTACTGATGTAAGCAATGCTGACCAATATTCTTTCCTGCTCTGTGTCATCTGTCTCTGTCTATTGTCTTGTATCACACACAGGTTGTAAATCTGTTATGTCTCACACAAGTGAATCCTGGGCTGAGATCAGGATTCCAGGTGAGCTGGCAACAGAAAATGAAGGGTTATATTGCAATCAACAGGTTTTACTTTTTTTGTTTGTTTGTGGGGGTTTTTTAACCAAGCATTTTCAAATCTGATATTGTGTCCTCTTGGTTACTAAGAGGTTGTGGCAGATTCCAAGAGCGAAGCAGCTGCAATTCATGGCTCTCCTATAATTTCTGAAGGCTTTGGACAGCCATTTTGCTGAATGTTTTGGTATATTAAGAGGAAGGCAACATATGTAAGTTTTCAATCAATCCCAATATGAAGATGCACAAAGTCTATTTTTTAAGTCCCACCTGTCCACAGCAAACCAGAACACCTCATCCCTAGGCCAACTGTGGGGTTCAGGGCAGCTGGGAGAAAACCTCTGATGGATCTGCCACAATGTTTCAGGCTGCCTTGCTATAATCAACCAACAAACCTAATAAAGAGGTCAATTTAGCAGTAACCACTTCTTTCTAATTCGGCACCAAGTGGGCATTCTTGAGGTGCAGCTTTCTCAGCAGAGGTAACTCTGCTCAGCTCACTCAGCCCCTTTCACCAGGTGCTGCAGACAAACAGGCTGCCTGAACATTAATTTCATTCAGGAGACGTGAAAAAAAAAAAAAAAAAAACAATACGGATTTCTATTTTAACTGGCTTGGCAAAGCAACAATGAAGTTGAAAGAGCCTGGTTGTCTCATTGTTAGAGCAAAACCGGATTTACAACCCAAGCTTATACTTTAAACAAACGTTTATGTAGCTTATCATCACCTAGAATTAGTGAAAGGCTCATTTTCACCCTCTCAGATACACACACACTTATAGACACATTCCAGTACATCATTACAGGCAACAATTCATTTACAAATCATTGACGCCTTTTCCCTTTTAACGCAGGCTTTGGGATCTTCACAGTCTGTGATACAATGCAGCTGGTATTTACCAAGTCTAGAAAAAGCTGGAAACTCTCAGAAAGTTCTTCAGCTTCCAGCAAGTTTTATTTCCTGCTATTTGCAACATTGTAAAACTGTTAATAATTAAACATTATATCTCCACTTTTTCTACGGATCAAAAGCTTTCCCGCTTGCCCTCCCGTGACTCAGGAAGTGCAGCACTTCCAGGCAGACATGGAAGAAAACCAGGACAAGACATGGAACCTTCAGGATTATTTCTGGATCCTTTTACAAATACTAAGCATTGCTGTGGATTTTTTTTTATTATTTCTTTTATTTTATTTTTTTTTGCCATGATCAAACAAGTCAGAAAACAGGAGCTGGTCCATTCAGTCAGCTATTCCTACTTTTGTCCATATTTTCCTGATCCTTTCAAACATGTGCTTCCCCCTCCCAATTTCACAGGCTAAATGCTCCACAAGAATTATCAAGGAAAAAAAAAAAAAGAAAACCAAATAGGTGGTGTTTTATTGTAAATATTCTGGTTGCACCTTTCTCAATCTACTTCCCCTCCTCGTTACTACAAATATTTTAAAACATCCCTAAGCTACAATCATGTTCTACAGAATTTAAATACAGAAAACTAAAAATACATCTTATGATGACCACATATTATACTGCAAGTTCATTCATTTACAAGAGGCTGAAAAAAACCCATGCTATGTCCTTTTGCAACATGTTGAGGCCAGGCATCTTAAATGAGGGTAAAACACAGTTTTGTTCTGTAGTGAGAATTTTAGTGCTCACACATTATTAAAAAAACTTTGCTTTGTTTTGGCTTTTTTATTAAGGCAAGTTCTTCAGAGTCTGCTGGGAAAACAGCACCATGAGCTTCGTTTTGCCATCATAATAGCATTCACTTATCTTGGCAATTAAAGAAGTATTCACACCCACACACGAAATGCCACTAAAGAAAACACAGCACAGCCGGCTAACCTTTCATATTTGAGGAATACACAGGAAAATTTAGACTTACATTTAGTTCAGCTTTTACATTACTGATTGACCTACAAATAACACAAATTAAAGTCCTCAGGGTTCCACCACCTTTCCTTAAAACAAAGGAATGAAGCAACAAGTACAAATAAACAAAGGAAGGCTGCGAACTGAGACCATAGGAATGAAAACATTCATTCTGCCTGTAGAATTTCTGCCACAAGTCTCAGCTATTCAAGCAATTCTTTCATTTGCTTGTTTTATCTAGCAAGAAATTCATATTGTCTCTGAAGCCAAACCCAAAGCTAACAGTGACTGCTGCTCTGCTCTGCTTTAATAATTTATTTCATGGCATTAGCAGACATTGCCAGTGATTTTTTTTTTGGTACCACTAAATATAAGATTTTTAGACAGGAAAAAAGTGTCATAGGGTAAGAAAACAGCCTGTCCTTGTTGCTCAGGAAATTCACCTCAAGTTTTTTGGCTTTTTGAGCTTGCAGTGCTGTGACCCTGTGAGCCACCCACGAGCCCTAAAAGGTCACGTACACATCCTCCAGCACAGAGAGGATCAATGCTCCTTTGCTGCAACACAGGGAGGTTTATTTACAAATAAAATTCCACAAAAGCCATCAAGTGTCTTAAAGTTTTAAGTTCCTTACTTTATATTCGATAAATGCTACATTATGTTACTTATACGACTTACAACCAGACAAAATCCATGACGTCCTCCCGGATGCAAACTTACGGTTACAGGAAAATAAAGAATTCTTTTTTTTTTTCTTTTTTGCTAACTTTGAAATGTTCAAAGTTGTACCAGATTTCCCGACTTTCTACATGATGGGCAAAAACTTCTGACAGAAATTCCAAGTTGGAATGGCAGAAACTCTCCCCACGTCATGACATCACGCAGAGCCAGCTGAGGGGTGTGAGGTTTCCCCAGGCAACTTTTGTGGACCAGCTCAGTGTGGAACACACAAACCATTTGGCTACTGCTGCACCACACACTGTTTCATTTAGGTTTTAAAAAAATAGCAACCAGAGCTCTTCTCCTTGCTTTTAAGTTTGGTCGAGATAAAAGGAAACTAATTTTTTTTTTTGGTCATTTTAGGTCACGATTGTAACAATCGACGCTGACTGATTTTTATGCCATTTGTGTTCTGAAATGTTTGGGGCATTCCCAAAGGATGAGCTTTTGCTCATCTGAACAGTACCACAAACCCAGGACACAGAAAAGGACAAACAATAATTGTCTCAAGAGCACAGCTGAAAGCAAGCAGAGCTGTGCAAGTGTTCTGTTCATATTCAAGCATTCTCCACGGAAAAAGAACAATCACACATAAGTAGTCATTAATAATTTGAATAGTCCAAAACAAAAAATCATTTAAAATAAAAGTTGTAAACTCAGCAAGATTAGCTTAAAACAGATTCTTAAAGCAAGATTTCCTCCTTTTGACTGCCAGTGAAATCAGCTATGGAGAGGTATTTCAGGCACAAGTCTGGACTGGTAAATCAGACAACTGGGCTCAGTTATTACTTTAAATTTAATAAGCTGGTCTTAAGGGTACAATCCCCATCCCCACAAAGGCAAAACGTTTGAAATTAAGTATAACTGCAGAATTTAAGTTGCAGTGCTGAAGGAAACCATGCTGGAATAAAAGCCTTCTCAAGCAGATGTGCCTCCCTGCTCCCTTCGTTTCTCATCAGCCACTGGCTCTTCACTGCCCTGTTTGCTTTCTGGTTAAATGGGAATCAGAAGGGAACAAGCTCGTTGCAGTTTTGCACACAATCACAAAAGGAGTCAGCAGAAGCATGAACACCAGCTCTTTAATTAATTAACTACTTGCCTAGTATGTGCCTTCACATGAGCACTCACACACACTAAACCTCAACTCCATCAGCAGAAATTCTCCATCGTTCGCCACCAGCACTTCTGAGACTGCCTCAAAAACCACCCCACTGACAAAATACTGGTTATACTCACACAGCAAATGGAAGCACAAAAAAATACAACCTAAGATTTAGGAGGATGCAATTATAATGCAATTTTGTTTCCTGGAAATGCACTAGCAAGCCTTCTAATTTACAAATTAGAACAATTTAAATTATGCCTTCATGTCCTTAGCATGGAAGAAAGCAACAGAACACCTCATCAAAGCTCCTCTGGAAAATATATTAGTAAAACTAAAAGAATTTTGGATTTTCTTGGTTTTTGAATTTACAAGCCAAGAAACCACAATACTGATTACTATTTATTTTCCAATCAGTATAGTTTAGTCTACATTTTCAGCTGACAACACCTGATCTCTCTGTCTGTAAATAAGCCCATCAAAAACAGATCTTCATTGACAGGTAGATGCTATTTATTAGTGAAACCTAAATATACAGTGACTGACTTAAGTATCCCAAACAGTGTAAAACAACTCTACATTCTCAAAGAATAAGCTGAGGGATCACTAAAACGTTAGCTGGCTCTGATATGCAAAAATAACGTTTAATATTCACTTACTAGATAAAATCCAGAGGCTTTTTTAGCAGCATTACAGCAGCTCATAATCCTCCTCCAAGTCTATTGTAGCAAGAGGAATGAAATCCAACCACCAGCGATACCAGAGAAAAGTCGATGTTTGCTCAGTGCCTCACACCCACCAGCACACACGGCCAGATTTGCTCTCATCTGCTGCTGCCGATGCACATGTGCAGAATGAGAAAGGAACTTCCTGCTCGCGCAGATCCCATCACGTTCTTAACAACAGTAGTTAATAAATAAAAAGGCTTTTGTATCTTGGGTAACAGCTAATTATCGTCATCCTACTCGCCACCCGCCCCCCTCCAATGTAAAGCTCTGCTCCAGAAACCACCCAGGGATAATTGTCTGTGCATCAGATAATACAGAACTTCAGGGCACTGTGAGAGTACAGAAAGGTACCAGGCAGGAGGAAATGATCAGTAAAACCCTGCAACGGGAGAGGTTCGTGTTATAAAACCAAAGCAGTTTAACAACTGACACTGCTGTGAAAACAGACTTGGGAACACAAGTCGAGCTCCCTCAGAGGCACCGAAAAAGCAAACTATAAATATATAATGCGCTTGATTCATTATGCAGAAGTTATCGTATTACATACTTTTATCATCAGCTCGTTTTGCCCCCTGACACACAGGTAAGCAGAAACGCAGGGCTGGAGCTCAGCAGATTACAAAACGATTACACAGCCCATTCCCTAGGAAAACACTGCCTGAGTCACAGCCACCAGCACGTGCCACCCGAACACAGGACAGGCTCAGCATCCCCGCTGCAGGAGCAACACATTCCATTCTGTACCAGTGACTCTTGGAATTGCAGGGAAAGAAGGGGAAACCAAAAACAAAAGAAATTAAAAAAAAAAAAAGAGAACTGGTCCTGAGTTCTCCTCCACAACCAATTCCCGTGGCAACCTGATTATGAGCAAATTTGAAGACACAACCAGAAATCATAAGGTTAAAAATTACACTGCAGACTAAATTTAAGGAACCTGATTACATTACAAGAGTGCCAAGGCAACAAAAGATTTCATTACATGTGGAGTTCGGCAAAAAGAGGAGAAAACCTTTCATACACACTCAGGGAAAAAAAAAAAAAAAGAGTATAAAGGAAGAAAGAACCACATTCGTAAGATTCCAGCTCTCACCTGTTCAGTTTTGTCCATGTATTATCATCCTGCACAGCTGAGCACTGATTTTAATCCTGAACACACTGCAGGGAACACTGAACAGAAGAGACCCGTGAGGAGCCACTCGGAGACTGCACCCAGGACAATCAATGCAGGGCTCCCACCAGAGACTCTGCTCAGATCCAGCAGCTGCCCCACCCAAACGCCCTCACAAATGTCCAGACAGGGAAGAAAATAAAAAACCACTTAAACCTCTCAATAGAAAAAAAAAAGCCTCTGCAACCACAGCCTTTGTTACAAGCTGTTGGAACACAAACATAATGAACTATCTGTATTTTAAGGTCTTTCAGTTTATTTTTTGTTTAGGTTTTTGTTTGTTTGTTTGTTTTAAATACACGGGATTTCACACGTTCTCCGGTGAAAGACCACAAGAGTAACTGTTTGTTACTATCACAATAGAACTATTTTCACAGTAATCACAACATGGTCCTGCAAAATATCACCCATTTCTTGTAGTGAAGGACTACACCCATACATTGCAAACCTAACAAGGTTTTCAGCACCATAATCACCCTCTAAACTATGTTTTAAAGACTTTAAAAAAAAAAAAAAGCCCTGTAGAAGATGCAGTAACAAATACATCATGGTTTAGGCTGCAAGAATTCACAGAATTCACCTGAATTGAAATAACTTTCACAAATCCCAACACTTGGCTACCAAACCAGTATAAAACCAGGAAGACAAATCCAAATATACCAAAGCCTTGAGACAGCTGGTCTTTCTGAAACAAAAATTTTGCAGGCAAAATCCATAACTTGCAGAAAATAACAGTCAGCAAGAAACTCAAAACTGAATGGCTCAATTTTACTAACTTTTCACAGAGCAACGTAAAATTCTTGTATTCTCTGCCTGAATCCAATTTTGACACGAGACATACAAGCTCTCTGTTGAAAAACTGATAGAGCCATCACTTTACAAACTGCATGACAAGTAACAAACCTCCCTCTTTCACAGCCCTTCACAGAAGACTTAACAGTCCTTCAATCCTGTATCTCCTCCTCAGATGCTCTGGATAAAGTGCTATTTTCTGGTTCTTAAATACTACTCCTCACATCTGAAATGATCAATAAATATATAACCAGGCCTGCAATGCAGAAAAAAAAATTAAAAGTGTTTGCCATCTCTCGTTCTTACAGATGCAAATGCTGAACTGCCCTGCAAGGAGTCAATTCACTCCCATCCAAACTGGATTTCTGTGTGATAAAATTAACCTGGTGTTATGCACCGAATTTAAGGACAACTTAAAGGCATTATCTTACCGACATCACTTCCTCTTCCCTACAGCTGCAGCTTCTTTTGTGGGGGATGGGGGGAAAAAAAAAAACAGAACCACCCCCCCCCAAAAATATCCAAACTGAAAAAAAAGCACCTCAAGACTTCGCAGATTTTCCTCACTTTCCTAGAAAAGGGCATCACTGCCGAGCTACAATTCAAAAGCCCGAGTATTTGAAAAAGAGAGGAAAAAAACCACCACCCCAAAAAGCAGGGGCTCAGCACACACTGATGCCTGTTCCAAAGGCAAGGAATGTTTCTGCAGCCTCACCTGCCTTTGCAAACGAGCCCTTATGGGCACTGGAAAGCAATGTCAGGAAAGCCTCGCTGCTCGCACAGGTCTCGGGCAAATGGGGAGTCTTTTAACGAGCTGGGAGAAGATCCTCCAGTGTTACAAGCAGCACGAGCCCAGGACTGAGCAGATAACAACTCTCATTTGCCGAACTCAGACTTTTCGACACACTGTCCATGTCAAAATCTGCAGGCATTTAGAAAGTTAACCCGGAGCTCCTCCGAGTCAGCTCCTTCAAATGCAACCACGGAACACTCTGCTTGATTGATTTTTCTCAAATAATACAGTAACTTTCCAGTCTGATGCTTTCAAAACACTGAGGTATTTGATTCCTTATTGTAACATTGTCAAGGCAAGGAAAGGATCCCTATGGTGCTGCACAACGCACAAAATACAGACAAAGCAGATTAAAAAAGATTCTAAATGCCTTCGAATCTATGCAACAAAGAATATTTAAAGCAATTTACTAGTAATGAGCAGTTACAAGGAAAAGAAAACAAACAAAATAGCTAAATTGCTTACAATATAGGCCAACAACCCAGCTTTTTACTCCTTTTATGCTGGCAAGTTAAACTGAATGGAAGACAGAAAAACTTCAAACCTAAATGCTAATCTAGTTTAGCAATTTCTTCCAAAGTCACATACTAACAATTCCATCCCTGAGGACACTCAGGAAAACACGCCAGAAAAAAAAAATAAACAACCGTGTAGGTTCTGATATATTCACTTTCTTTTCTTTTAAACAGGCAAGAGTCATTAGGTGGCATTTACTTCTTCATTTGTTACCTCTTTTCCCCACCTCGAGCTCGACAGCAGCACGAAATTTTGTGAAAATTTATTAAAATGCAGCCAGACTTGAGAATGAGAAAGCTGAGCACTAAAACCTGGTGTTGAGGTTGTGTGATGGCAGGTTTTAGTGTCTGGTTTGTTGTTTTTTTTTCCCAAACCTGGAAAGGAGCACCTTAACCCTGGGACAGCAACTTTCTGACAGCAGGAAACCCTGGGATGTTTCGGCCTCCCTAAGGAGCTTCCACGAACAATGGAGCCCCACACCGGCAGCCCCCTCGGATGATGCATCCTGGGCACAGCCTGCGTTCAGCCCAGCCGGCGTTGATAACTCCGTGCCTGCCCTCCCTTTTGAACTTCTGGAAGCAACTTGGCTGAGGAGCCGCGGGGCCGGAGCCCCCTCGCAGGGGGCACGGGTGACCCGCGGGAGGAGGGGCCGGGCCGGGCAGGGCAGGCAGCTCCTGGGGGAGCAGAGGAGGCTCCCGGCGCTGACAGCTCGGCCCGGGCGGGCGGCGCTGCCGGAGCCAGAAGGTTCTGCCGGAGCCAGAAGGTTCTGCCGGAGCCAGAAGGTTCTGCCGGAGCCAGAAGGTTCCCGACGCGCTGAGGCGACACCGGACCCGCCCGAGCGCGGGCACCCCCCACCCGCCCGCCCGCCCCGCGCATGCGCCGCGCGCCCCTCACCGTTGCCGGGTGACTCGCCCTCCCCGCCGTCCGCGGCAGCGCCGGCAGCGCCCTCCGCCCCTTCCTACCCCGGGGGCCGCCGCGGGGCCTCTGCCCTGCCCGCTCCGCTCCGCGCCGCTCGCAGCCCTTCCTCGCGCCCGTCCCGGCTCTCCCCCTCTCTCTGCGGTCGCCGCGGCTCTCCGACCCCCCCCAGGCCGCTGTGTCGTGGTGGTCGTGGCGGCCGCGGCGCTGCCGGCCCGGGCTCCGTCCGTGCGCTCCGCGCGGCTCCGAGCCCCGACCGCGACCGGGGGGTCCCCGACGGCAGCGGCGGCCACGGCCGGAAGTGACGCGCTGACTGACAGGTGCAGAGCGCGCACACCCCCCCGGCTCGCCCCCCCCTCCTCTCCCCGGGGTCACGTGCCGCGGGGCGGGGCCGAGGGGCGGGAATCGCGCCCTGAGGGGGAGGCGGCGGCGCCCGCGGGCGGGGCGGGAACGGGAGGATCGAAATTGGTGTGGGGGGTTTTTTTTTTTTTTGTCCCGTCCTCGCCCCGCACGGGGTCGATGAGCCTGGAAAACACGCCCCGAGATCGCAGAGTCACCCAGGCTTGGAAATGATCTCCTGAGATCGTCAACCCAACACCACCTTGCCTACCGGACCGCGGCACTCAGTGCCACATGCAGTGTCTCCCTGAATACCTCAGCCCATTCCAATGTCTGATCGCTCTCTCTCTAAAGAACTTCTTCCTCATGCCCAACCTAAACCTCCCCTGGTGCAGTTTAAGGCCGTGCCCTCTTGTTCTATTGCTGGCAGAAGAGCCCGACGCCCACGTGGCTACACCCTCCCTTCAGGGAGTTGTAGAGAGTGATGAGGTCTCCCCTGAGCCTCCTCTTCTCCAGGCTCAGCACCCCCAGCTCCCTCAGCCTCTCCTCATAGGACTCTGCTCCAGTCCCTTCCCCAGCCTTGTTGTCCTTCTCTGGGCACGTTCCAGCCCGTCCAGGTCCTTCTTGAACTGAGGGACCCAGAACTGGACACAGCACTCGAGGTGCGGCCTCACCAGTGCCAAGCACAGGGGAGGAATCGCTGGTCCTGCTGGACACACTATTCCTGATCCGGGCCAGGATGATCATCGAGTCCAACCTATGACCCAACGCCACCACCGTGTCAGCCAGACCATGGCACTGAGCATCATGTCCAGTCTTTCCTTAAACACCTCCCTGGGCAGCCCATTCCAGTGTCTGATCAGCCTTTCTGCAAAGAAATTCTTTCTAATGTCCAACCTAAGCCTCTCTGGGCACAGCTTAAATCTATGTCCTTTGTCCTGCGGTGACCAGAGAGGGACCACGGCCAGTAGTGTCACTGTGGAGGCTCGTACCCCACTAGCTTTGGTTGGATATTAGAAAGAATTTCCTCATAGAAAGGGCAATTAGACATTGGAAAGGGCTGCCCAGGGAGGTGGTGGAGTCACCATCCCTGGAGGTGTTCAAGCAAAGACTGGACGTGACACTCGGTGCCATGGCCTTGTTCGGTCATGGGTTGGACTGAATGATCTCAGAGGTCTTTTCCAACCTCACTGATTCTGTGATTCTAATTTTCCCTTCCCCACAAGCATATTAAAATATTTCCCGCAAATTTTCTGAATTGAAGCGTCAGGAGCCATCACTCCCAAACGTTCCCCGGGTGTGAGTGCGCCAGAAGCAACGAAGTGCCCTTTGACAAAGAGCTAAAGCATTTTGAAACAGAAAATTTAGCACCCTTAAAGTAAGTTAGCATAAGTTAGTGAGGAGATGCAAGCTTACACCCGAAGTGTTAAAACCCGTGCCTGGCAGTCTGTGGTTCCCACATGCCATGCTGAAACTACAACAGCTTTTTCTGTCATGCAGTGCCAGCAGCCATAGGTGGTGGGTTTAATAAGGCGTTTAAGGAAACTTGGATTTAGTTAGGAAAAATCCTCTCAGGAAAAGAGACAGAAAAACTGACAAAGAATATATGAAAGGGAAAAAAAATTATACGGCTAGGATGGGATTAATTGAAACCTCTCTATTTTCAATAGCTGGGAGGGTTTTGTTTCAGGTTTTCCAACATGGATTCTGAATTTTATCTAAGAGATACATTTATAGGGCTCATTAGGAGGTTTTACATTGAGAATCCAAAGAAGGGAGAGTCACAATCCCACAGTAAATTAGGCAGGGTTTAATCAGATCTAAAACTCTTATTTTCCTGCTGCAAGATTTGGTGTCATTAGGAGGTAGCACGCAAAAGCAATAAAATGTGTAGGGTCGGGGGAAGTGGCCTCTCAGGAGGTCTCTGTGTGCTGTCTCGTCTGCTTCCACAGCAGACTCCTCCACTTGAACCGCTAATAAAATCTCCTCGCCTCAGGATGAGGTTTCCGAATTTGTATTTTGTATACATCGCTGGGTTCTTTCTGATTCATTTAGCCTCATCAACAACAATAAAGATACTGAATCAGAACAAGCTGGCAATTTTGTTGATGAAACATGGGGGAGAGCGGACTCCAGCTGGCTCTTCAGCAGACACGTTGGCCAGTTGACAGCAGTAAAACTGCAAGAAACCTGACACAGAAAGCACACGTGGCGAGAGGAGACAGGCAGCAGAGGCAGGCAGGTAGGCAGGCACTGCACAGCACCTGCCTGCTGGTTTGGAGTCCAAGACAGTGTCTTCCCTCCCCTGAACTGGCTCCGAGTTCGGCATTTCATGCCAGCTTATCCCCCTCCTTTCAAAGGCTTCCAGTGCTCCTTGTAGGGGGCAGACATGTGCAGTCCCAGGCTGCCATTTGAGGCTTCTCTGCTCACTTTGTGTGCTCTCTGTCTGTCTCTGAAAGGTCGAGGACAACCTGGGAGTCACAGAGTCATAGAATATCTCAAGCTGGAAGGGACCCCTAAGGATAATGGGGTCCAACTCAGTGCTCCTCGCAGGGCTACCTAAAACTAAACCGTGTGACCAAGAGCACTGTCCAGAAACTCCCTGAACTCGGACTTGCCTCTGTGACCACTTCCTTGATGAACCTGTTTCAGTGACCAACCACCCCCACGGCAAATCACTTTTTCCTAAAGTCTAACCTGAACTTTCCCTGACACAACTTCATTCTTTCCCGAGCTTCTATGACTGGTCACTAGAGAGAGGAGATCAACACCTCCCCTGCCATTTAAGGGAAGCTGTGGAAGGCTCTTTGTAAGTCTTGCACCTTTTACCCTCCTGGTCTCTCTTTGGTGCTTTAGCCACTTCTTCTGAGATAGTAAATACAGAGGGAACAGAGGCAACAACTTAATGAGTGGCTGCATGGTTACACTCCCAAAATACAGCTGTTGAAGGCACCTGCCTCTCAGATCACTGCTAAACATTGCAATGGAGCAACGTCCATGAGCTGCCTCCATCCATTTCCCACTATCTCAGGCACAGCTTCAATTTGATGGCAGTTTTTTGCAATTCTCCCTCTTTGGTGCTGTGCACACAGTGGAGCTCACAGTTCATTTACCCTCTCCCAAACTCACAGGTGTGTCCAGAGCAGCCCCAGCACGAGCAGGGGTTGTGCAGGCGCGTGGCTGCAGTGACACCACGTGACACTGTCACCCACATGTCACCCATATGACAGTGCAGGGACAAGGGCCCAGTGTGGGGCTGCTCCTGAGCAGCAGGACCCGTTCCCCAGCTGCTGCACAGCTCCAGGAGCTTGGCAGATCCACCTGCCAAGGGTAAAGAGCCAGAGTGCCACGGCATCCCCACTCTGGCATCCCTGTCTCCTCGGTGAATCCCTGTCCACAGCCACACCACAAAGGGTGAGCCAGTCCTGTAGCTCAGTGTGTTTTCTTACAAGTCCAGCTAAACTGCTCAGCCTAAAAGTTTTGCAGAGATTGTCCTGCTAAATGCTCACCAAGTAACTTAGTAGATCTGAAATGATTACCAGTGTAATTCCCTTTTTTCCAGGAAAAGCCATTCATGACCACAAATCATTATTACCAGTATATGTCATAGAAGAACTGGAGCCATAATTCCCTCATGTATCCCCCATGTATTCAGAAGTATGACTTCAGAATAAATATTCTCTGAATACTTCAGCTTCCAATTAAGTCTAGTTCCAGCAACAGCCCTGCCTTACTCCTCATGACAAACTGAAGCAAATTAAAGAAAGATATTCCTATCCCAACTGTGCTCACTGCTGTACAAGGCTCGGTACAAACTGAGCTAAAATACTCCAAAACTTAAATCAGCTTTGCAATCCAAATCCAATCCTTGGGAGTCTGATAGCCTGCCATGCAATTCCTTACCTTCACACTGGGTTATTATCTTACTAGGAGCAAATAGGAATCTGATGTGCAGCCAAACAAGACACGGCTGCAATACCCGTGTATTATATGCCAAATAGCTTTCACTTGGGGGGGAAACTATCTGTATGTCAGCAAAGTATTTGCTTTTGGTTTTAATTGTTCACCTCTACATTGTTTGATGCACTCTCCTGAACTTGGAAGTGCACAATTTTTCTCTTGAATAGATCCTATTGTCTCTTGCAAAAATATACTGATAAACGTGAATCCTTTCAACACCGAAGAAGAATCAGCAAACAGTAACACTTTCCAGCTGGTTGCTCTGCAAAGTGCTTTCCTTTCCTGCATATTTAATCCAGAAACAGAGACATTTCCCCAAGCTGAGCTTTACTTTGTTCCTCTTTTCCAGCATTACAAAATTTTCTAACACACGTTTTGTTTCAGGGTGCCCAGCACATGAGACTTGGCCTTGCTGGACATCCATAACCCTCCACGGAGGCTCTGGAATCAGCAAGCATCCAGTTCTTCTGCCTCACAGCATCCAAAAAGGGCACCTAAGAATCAAAGGCCATTTTTAAATTAACGAATGAGGCTTCTCAACCCTCAGGCAGACAGTTAAAAAAATCTATTTTATAGAAACAGAAACTCCAACCCAGAGAAGACCATTCATCTTTTCAAAGGCTGTCAGCCATTACTAGACACACATACGTAAGGATTTTTAAAAACTGAATTCAGTATCAAAGGCACATGTTCTGCGTAAATGTCAGACATTTTTACTCATTTTTCTACTAGAGTTCTGTGATTAAAATAAACATTTACAGCATGAGATTTTTTTTTTCCCCCTGCCTTTGAATACTTTTTGGATCTGAATCTTGGTTTTGGGAGATCTGTCTTTCTTTAAAGTAGAAATCTGGGAATATGGGTCAAATGTGGCTTTTAAGGCTTGTTCATATTTTAATTGCATGGTTGCAGACTTAACAGGAGATAATTCTTCCCTTCTTGAAATTCAAGACATCGAAAGGTTAATTCAGTCTTC